TTAGTAAATACGCCTCTCAGTACGCCATTGATTGCGTCACTGTACCTTACACAGATGCACCGGCATTTGAAGGAATTCATAGGCCTACTAATTGCATGCTGGGAGTGAGGGGTCATGTATTTACTTTCTAAAAACGTTAACAAGGACCTTATGATCATTAATATAGAGGGCTCATTTAAAAGTTGGCTTGCCTTATCGGCACCCGTTTTCGGGCTTCTAGAGATAAAGGACCATGGTGAAACGGCAGTGCTGCCATGGCCGGCCTCAAGCCCGGGGAATTGTTGACATGCGCTTCGATCAAAGCCTGCCACCTACGCATCGGACGCTGTTGACGGTAAAAGTTGACCTCCAACCAAACCAGTCAAATGTTTATGGCTCTAGCTCTTGACGCGTTTTTGGCGTGATCACGAATAACGCTCCACCTAGGTTATCACCGTGCCCATCTGTCATTACGGCAAATTCAAGCACGACAGTTGGACATAAGCCGACTGGAAGCCCGGAGAGCAAACTAACCAAGATGGCGGGCGTTGCGGCGTTATCGTGTTCTGCGCTATCGCGTCGCTGTACCGTGCAGAGTAGCATGCTGGACGCCAGGAGATATCGCCAGCATCAGCCTGCCTCAAAGCATCTTAAGATCTTGAGTCCGATGTGGCGTGACGAGCTTGGAGTGCGTGAGAGCAACGGACGTGCCAGGCGACAGCTGGGGCGTGACACATCGATGACAGTGAACTGTCTAGAATGGCCAGCACGAACCCTGATGAGGGTAGAGGAGGACAAGTGAACTATCCAGGTTGGCCAGCACTAATCCTGATGAAGGGAGACAAGGAACAACAGTGCACGTCTACGTGGGTGTGCACTGACCCCGATGAGAAGGGAGACAATATGACAGAGAAAACAGTGAACTGCCTAGGTTTGCGAGCACTAACCCGTATGAGGGGAGACAGGGTCGGCAGTGGACTGTTTAGATTGGCCAGAACCCACTCCGATGAACCGTTACAGGGCAATATGGCGGGAACCGCCCACAGTTGGCTGAAGTAACATGAGGACGACAGTGCTTACTGGCGGAAATATGCAAGCCCCCTATCGATCGCATGAACTGGGCGCCTGACGCCCAGTTCATGAGTATTTTGGGCGCCTGCGCCCAAAGTATTTTGCCCCGTACCTCTTGGTTGCGACTGAGGCCTGAGGTCGGGAGGTCTGAAGCAGATTAACCGGATAAGCTGCAGCTTGCAGTGGCCTGTGCAGTTATTAATACCCTCGGATGGTTCACGGCTTTACCAAACACTGATGGCGTCAAGATGTCCTTCAGATGTGTCGGCAGACCTTCCGCTCAATGAAAACGGAGCATTGTGCATCTTCAGGGAAAAGCTGTTTTTTACGAGTGTTCCTTACGTTGTAGGATTTTGAAGAGTTTCGGCTTCGACACTGGCCAAATGAAGGAGCACCACCGGTCGACAAGGATAATGAAAAGAGACCTTGGGTGTCATAGATCCGCTCTTTCTTTGCACCTCCAAGTACAGTGCTAAATTAAAAAAGTATACTGGCGTATTATGGACTGGCATTTCATATCACGTTTGGAGATAGGACGCCGTAGAACTTCCTGCCTGTGTATGAAATGACGTTTGGATGATTTTAACCGGACAAGAAACTCTTTATGCAAGGGTTGTATTCTTCCGATGATACATATTTAGTTTCGTCAAAAGAGTTTTTTAAATCGTCTTCTTGATCTCCACCAATTGTTGATTATAGAGGCTTTCATGTAACCTTAAACCCTCGCTGGGCTAGCTGGTGGATGTCTTCCTCCAAGCGGTGTTTTTGACGGAAGGGAGAACCATCAAATATTTTCCCATAATTTGGTCTTAGCTGAAAATGCATTCACTGCTCATGTTCGCGAACAAGTGGCTCGGGGTCATGTCATGTTGAGGTGTAACGTCATTTCGGAATGCTTGCACGGACCTTTCGTCCCGAAATATGGCTTGCTCAGTTTGCTGCTGTTTGTTGGCAATAAATGATGGATCTAGTAACGAAATCAGTGTGGAATGAAATCTTTCTGTACACGGATTCTCTAGGTAGGTTGAGGTCTTTTGACGGCTGTATGAAATCATTCGTGTATGACGACCCTGTTTTACCTTAGATCGTCTTACACGCCTTGGGGCACTGAGTCACATCCAGAACTGGATTTTGTTTTTCTCAAATATTATCGTTTAATGCTCTGGGAGGGTTTATTTCTTTGGCTTTATGCTCGCCAGCATTAAGGTTCGCCTAGCTTGCGTGTGTGTAGTTGAGAAGAACTGGTCATCGTTTAATTCGTTAGATGCCAGGCCTCACTATCGTTTGTATCGTGGTTATAGTTCATCTCGGTGCCGGGTGGCGAGACGTGCCTGTTGCCGACGTCTGTCAACGATGCATATGCACTCTGCTTTTTCTTGGTTACGGTCAACATTCACTACTTTGCCAAGTTAAACATTCGCATTATTTTCTCATACTCCAGTGTGTACCACAGCTTTCGCCCGGTGGAAGTTATCCCGAGACATCTGCAGTGACGAACAGTTTAGCAGCTTGATATGAACAAAAAGAGCATTGAGCTTCTGTTCTTTTAGCGTTGAGTGTACAGTTCTTGTGCTGAAAAGAAATGAGCTTCAGTATACCAGAAGGTACTAGTCAGACTGGTTGGGTAATGCTACCTTCACCGTCCGTGAAGGTGCTGGGGGTTACATTGAAAGTACCCTTTTGTGGGAGATGCACATGTCCCATATTTTGAAACAGGCAACGCATCCTTGTAGCATCTGTCTGTTGTTTCGCCCGCGTTATTCCGGATTTTTACCCTCGCTCGCCTGTGCCCGCGTCTCGCCACCACGCGCAGCCCGCCAACGGCACGCGTCCCGATGCCGCGGCACGCCCATCCTTGCGTGTGTATACATTATGCTGCAAGCGGCGCCAGTTTGACCTCCTTGTCTAGACTAACATAAACAAACGCGAAGCCACGCGATGATTATCTATGGACGCAGCCGCGAAACCACGCCCCACGTGGCCTTCTGGATGTAGTGTCCGAAAAACTGCATTCTCGTTGCAGTGAGGTGACGGCAAGCAATGAGTGCGTGATGCACGGTCAGCGGGTCCGACCATCGACTGCAACATGGTCTGTGGCCAGCCAATAGCACGTGACGGTGCGTAGCATATGTGTGGCCTATGCGTAACCTGCAAAGAACAACTTCTTCCCTCCGGTTGTCTCGAAAGCACGACTGCCATAGTCCAATACGGGGTGTCACAGACTGCAGCTTGTTGGCGCTCAGCGAGTTCCAGTGGAACTGCCATCGCTTCTGCATAAACGACGACACTGCGGGGTACATGTCTTGAGCTGGTAGTGGTGTTATAGGAATGCGTGTCCCTGTCGTAGCGCGCTTTGCTGCCTCGTCAGCAAGATCATTTCCGCAGATCCCCACGTGACTTGAGATCCAGCATAGTACGACTGTTTTTGTCTGCTCGATCCAGTGAGCTAAGACGCGATTGAATGTCCTGGACCGGTGGATTCGACGAGGAGCCGCCGACAGCCAGGAGACTGCTCAAGGAGTCAGAAGGAATCAAATGCAGATTGCTGCCGTCCACTTTAATAACACATAGACCTTTGCTGATGGCTATAAGCTCGGAAGTGTAGACCGACGCTTGTGAAGGCAGTGTGAATCACCGGGTTGTGGATGCGCACACAAAAGCGGACCCTACGCCTGCATCCGTCTTCGAACCATCTATATAAGTCACCATGTACCCGTCAAAGGAGGTTATGTGCTCTAAGGCCGCGCCTTTAAGTTCCGTGATGAGAACGCGTTGCTTGTGCATGTTTGATAGCGAAACATCCACTCTTGGCGATGCTAGCTCCCAAGGAGCAGTCTTCACGGGTATAGGTCTGATGACACGTCATAGATTGAGGCCGCTCGCGTCTAAAAGTTCTCTCATTCGTACATAAAAGGGAGAAGTTTGTGGAGAGCGTTGGCGTAGAAAAAGCCCTCGTAAGCTGCGCGAAAACACTGCTCTGTAGGTGGGATGATCTGGGAACTGCGCCAGCATGCACGTGTAGCGCAGTCCCAGCATCTGCCTTTGTAATGCTAATGGGGGCCCGTGAGCCTCCACCGTGCGTAGTGCGGCGTGATGCACCGTGTTCAAAGTGCGTTTGATCAGGTCTGAAGAACCGTCATAGATAAAACAGCCGTAGTCAAGTTTTCAACGAATCAGGGAACGATATAGGAGTAAAAGTGTCCTCCTATCAGCACCGTATGATGCACGTCCCAAGCGCCTTAGGATGTTAATATATTTTAAACATTTGTCGCGGAGATGTCTTATGCGCTCACGGTACGTTAGGCGTCGGTCCAATCGCATACCGAGAAATTTGCAGAGCGCTGCAGAGCTGTCAGGTCGACTGTGATTACGCGCTGATCATGCAACGTGTCGACCCGGCTGCATGAAACATCAGGCCATGTGGATCACAGCAAGGATGGGGGCACGCCTTGGCGGTCGTGTAAAATGGGCCCTACGTTGCCAAGTAGGAGGTAAGTCAGAGCCTCGGACCCGAGCGCACGCTCACAGCCCAGGTGCCGCCCGTATTGTAACCGGTGTGTCGCGATGGCACAATACAGCACTGCCAGATAACCTCTTTGTGAAGAGTGTAACTTTGAGGCGTGCTACAGGTGGTTCTGGGCGTTACCTTCCTTCGTAATGTGCATGCCCTTTTCATTCAGTGCTAGAAACGTCCTCATACGTGCAAGCACGCTGGTCGTCGTGCAAGAAAGTACTTCACTGTTCAGGATGGGGGAAGGGGGGGGGGGGAGGTTCGAGATTATGAACACAGTAATATCGGGAGAGTTCGTGGAGTGGTTCTTCCCTCCGTTACACCCGCCTGATGATTTGGGTTACTATGCGTCTGTCGGGCATTTAGCCTACTCTCCGCCGGCCCCCTCTGTGTCTGTCTGCCTGTCTGTCCGTCTTCGGTTTCAACATAAACGACTTGATGTAACTATGATTTAACTTTTATTATTCGTCCAGCTCTCCCCTATGCTGGGTTGTTCTTCCTTCTGCTGGTCTCTACGGACTAAGCGCATCATTGTTCCATATTTTTTTTGCATTCTTTCCACCATTCACGATGCAGTTATTCTTCCACATCCGTTAACACCTACTCACCATTGACCCCACCATTTTGCCGAACTAATCCTATCCAGTAGGACACACGGTTGGGATGGAATACTGTTGCTTGACATCGTGCCAAAATTTGGGTTTTGGGAAGTCAAGCCACTACAACACCGAGTTTTGGGTCATGTTCTGCTAACCGATGTCTCTGCTTGTCAGTACCTCCTGTTCTCTTGATATTGAGAGGCCGCATTCTACGCCTGTGGCTTGCCAGAGTATCATTATTCAAACGCGCCGCTCACGCAAAAAAAACACCGCTTCGTGCCTTCCCTAATCGCACAAGTACCCCGTTTCCATTTACGCAACGCCCATGTGGGCGAACCTGGTTAGGTCCTGCATTATCAAGAATGGTCGCGACGTAAAGGCAGACGGGCACCTTTTTTGTACCTTTCGCATATTATTAGATTAGACGTGTCTGGTTTTATGCACAATACCAATTTCTTGAAATCCTTCTCAAAGCTCAGAACTTCCGTTTGTCAGCCGCCCTGGCGAAAGAAATCGCGGTAGACTCCTTGTTCCCCATTACGAAAGTAAAAGTTTCATTTGCCACGCTTTTCCGGTGTTCTGTTATGTTTGCAGCATACAAATTCGTCAAAATCCGTCTGTAATAAAAGCTACGAAGGCTTGACGCACTCATTTTAGGGGAAAGCATAAACAAACAAGATGCATCACGCAAATTCAACGAAAGGCAAATAAATGGCTCTTATTTCTTCCCCACGGGGGAATTCACAATGACCCTTTTCTAAGATCATGTTGGCTTTTGGAGGGTTTTGGAAAAAAATGTTTATGTAACTGTTTAAATATGTTCATGTAACTTGCCATGTATCGCGATGTGCCGGGTGTATAATTTACACAGATAGAAGTAAGCAAGCAAACCACACATGCGCTGGTGTAATGACCTTTTATCATCCCACAGCGATGCAACATGCATGCATATGTAAAAGCTGGTCCACGTCTTGGTGAGACCAGCGCATCAAGGTGCTTAAAGGCGAGGTCGGGAGGCAAACTCTGGGAAAGCAAAACATACCGTCACACCATACTGTGTTACTGTACAAGCCGGGAGGTTAAACATCCAGTACACATTACCGAACATGCTCACCAAGGCCCTTTTGCTACATAGGCGACACGACCATTGTTAGCACTGCACATGCGCCGGGCTGGTGTCTAGTACATCCGGGTGGGTTTATGCTCTCCGCAGACCCTTGGACCGTACAGTGCTTGTATCGGGTTACCTATGGTGAAACATGTACTTTTAATCGGGACATAGGTACTCCGACAAACTTTAACCACAGGGATAATACAAATTTCGTGGCAAATTGAGCCGTCTTCGGCACACAGGGCTAGACGTGCATCAGACAATACACGGGAAACGGTAGAGACGAACCCTCCGTCCATGGGTCACCAGTGTCCAGTGACCAGTGACCAGTGAGCAGTGACCGGTGACCGGTGACCAGTGACGGTTTACCAGTGCCCTTTGACGGTATCGTGTACCCTCAGACGATACAGATGACTACAGACGGTCGGTATAGATGGCCTCAGCCGGCATAGATGTCCTCAGGCGGTACAGACGGCCACAAGGGCTATCAGTTTGACCTCGGGCGGTACACACGTGACCTCAGAAAGTCCATGTGTGATGGCGGTTCACGCGTAATCAGACAGTGCACGTGTGACAGTGGTGCACGCGTGGCTTCCGACGGTACACGCGTGACCTCAGACGGCGCAGCTGGACGAGTGGCCGGACAGCTGAACGTTGCGGCCGAAGACCATGCGGACGTGCTCGGCGCCGAACTGGCCGTAGACGAAGATGTCGCGGGCCGGGTAGTGCAGCTGTCGCAGCGAGCTCAGAGTGGAGATGATCATGGTCGGACCGCCACACAGCACCATCTGGCGAGACGACAGGACATGCGCCCTCACTACACGGTGGCGGTAAGGTGTACACGGTAGAAAAGTGCTCCAAAGCAGTCACAGGACATGAAGGTTTTTGGTGAAATTTCCTGCGGTTTTTCACTTGCCGGAACGCACGCCGTACGACCGCTCCCTACCACAGACCAACACAGATCCCGACCCCGTCGGCCGGACTCCGCGCCGCGCAGACACCCCTCGCGCTTCTGACGATCACTCCGGCGCCAGTGTTTCTCCCCAGCGCAGGCATGCGAGCGGGGCTCTTGCGGGTATATTTCATAACAGCGCACGTTTCTTCGCACGGTATTGTAACCCATGAAATCATATTTCACGTTCCTAATTCGATGCAGGCGCTTACGCACACACGCCCATACAACATCCGCACACACACACACACACACACACACACACACACACACACACACACACACACACACACACACACACACACACACACACACGCACCCGCACCCGCACCCGCACCCGCACCCGCACCCGCACCCGCACCCGCACCCGCACCCGCACCCGCACCCGCACCCGCACCCGCACCCGCACCCGCACCCGCATCCGCACCCACACCCGCATACACACAGACGTACGCGCACATGCACACGCACACATAAACGCAAGCGCAAACGCACACAGGGATCACTCACACTTTCCACCGCACCAAGTGCAGGTCGTTCCATACCGTCAGCCTGCAGTGCCTTCCTTGGAGTTTAGCAACAGTGCTGTATTACCTTGCAGCGGCCTCCATTGGGTGTTGGCACCGTGTGTCGGATCATGTCGGTATCGATGAAGCCTTCCTCGCCGTCCCAGTTCTCCGGTGCCTCGCCCAGGCTGTATAGGACTTTCAGCCGCTGGTCGGTGCCTGGTGAAAAAGACAAGGTTAAAAAAGAAAACACTCCCGTTGGAAACCTATCAACCTCAAAACTGGATATTCACTGGTAAGGTCCCTGCCTGAACACTGATGATCCTTCCAGTGATCACAGGTGGGGCGGGCCACTGACCATTCTCTGACCCTGGGACGGCGGTGGGCGACTGACCCTGGTATTTGTCCAGCTCGTCCTTGAGCAGGACGTCGTCGATGGTCTCGGAGTAGTACAGCAGGTGCACCTGGGTGCGGTCCTGCGGGTCCGCCATGATGGAGCGCACCAGCTGCAGACAGGGCGTGACCCCGGCGCCCGAGGCCATCAGGGTCAGGTGGTCCGTGGTGTTGGCGTGGTACTCGAAGCCGCCGCACGGACCCATCACCTCGATCGAATCTCCTGCGGACAGGCAAAAGGGCTTTCAGTCCTCGCCATAGGGCAGTGTGACATGCAAACATGTGAGACGGCTATACGGGAATCTCGTCGGCAGAGTACAACCCGGAGCAGGCACCGACATGTGGGTGCCCGACATGTCGGTTTAGATTAGTAATTCTTGGGAAAACAGGACCCTCAATAGCGTTTTATACTTGCGGTCATGTGCCGCTCTGAAAAGAGCCAAGTAAAATCATCCGAATAAGAACAAGTTTACAGTAGATTGGTCATGTCATAGAAAAGTTGTTGTCCGGCGTCGCATGCAACAGTATGAAGTAGGTACAACTTAGGACACATTTACAGCATGTGTGGCATTCCTCCGAGACTCAAAGGTCAGTGAGTGTACAAGTTGCACTGTATTGTTAGTACTCTTTCTGAGAGCTTCTTCGACAACTGCGAAGGCAAGTCATGCACCTGGCACGATAGGCCCAGTTAGATCCAACCAAAGCTCTATAAAGTAGTGAAAAAGTTTTAGGCCAGTTCGTGCAACAATCGAGCCTAAAACCTTTAAATATATTGAAACACACTCTCAGGGGAAAGCTGGTAGGACAACCTTCAATCGAACCCTATCTCTCTTCATTCAACGAAGCCAACTTAACCTCAGAAACAACCCATATTTCTCTCCCTTAAAACAATGTTTGGGTCTTGGCAGTGGCCTTGTTTCCTACGGAAACGAACATAGTTTACTAAAAAGAACACAGTTGGATCTGTCCCTCGTCAGCCGTGTTAATTGAAGTACTTATCCAAATGGCGAGGTCGAGAACATAAGTGTTGTACGTGCCCATGAAGCCACGTTTCTAGTAATGCCAGTTGTCACAATCACAAATATCGCAATGTTGACAATGCCGCCTTGTGAGGTGTCATCCTATTGTGAGCATTGTCTCAACAAAATTCAGCCTACACGACCCTGACAATTTTTCCTAGAAACAAGAGCTAGCTCGGCAAACACACATCCATGCGTCCTCTTTTTTGTACATTTGTAGCGCTTCATTTAAACACCTATCTTGCGTGCCGTGTCATAGCCCCATGGGCTTTTCATATTTTATAACATAGCTATGTAATGACAAAAAAATAGATGAAACATACATTATGTGAACATGTAACATATCATTAATGTACGATATGATATGAAACATAATGTAACATATCTAATGATTTCATGCCATGCCATATAACAAGCAAAACTATGTTGCTAACAATAAACGCTGTTGTTTATAACTAAACAAATATGTTGTTTACAAGCTTCAGGCACGGACACGTCAGAATTCAGCAGATGGTCCGACATCCATCGATTTGACTGAATTCCAGTTGGGTCATATCTATGTTCCTGTCAAAATAATGGATGATATATCCACACTGTGAAATAGATCCTTCTGTCGCCTAAAATAACACATTAGATTAATGTCCTGAGGACTGAGGAGGAGGATTAGATTAATGTCCTGAGATTAATGTCCTGCTGAAATTCAGCAGATGGTCTAATGTACGTTAATTTTTCTTGAATTCACACTGGTTCACATTTATCATCGTGTAATGGTATTTGATGACATCTTCCCAACGTGACGTCAATGTTCCTGTCATATGATGTTATAAATACCCAGTGTACTTGTACTATTTCCACGCTGCCAAGCTCCGAATGACACATCTAGCTGTGCAGCCAGTGTTTTTAATTATTATTACCATTGTTGTTAATAATTATTACTGTAATTCGGCAGCCGTGTAAATTTGTGCACCTTTACAAAGGGCGAGACGGTAGACAAAGGTGATTTTTCTGCTTCTTAAGGGAAGTGTCAACTGGTATTATCAACCATTGTAGAAAAACACAATACTGAAAATGTTGTCTTGTGAGACACTAGCCTCCTGTGGGCATCGATCCCACATAGCAGAGCCTGTATGACCTCGAAGATCTTTCTTTCAAACAAGAGCTAGTTGGACCAAAACGCATTCGGGCGCCCACATTTCGTACATTTGTAGAGCTCCATTAAAATATCCAGCTTACGTGTCGTGTCACAACCCCAAAGGCTTTCCTTGTCATATAACATATATATGAAACGACGAAATAAAGAATACATGAAGTATATAACGTATCAAAATATATCGTATCATTGATAGGAAGCATGGCATGAAATTTGATAAGTAAAATACCAATATTTCATATAATATCAAGTAACCAAAAATGTGTCCACAGTAAATGTCGTTTAAAACTTAGAAAACACGTGTTTATAAGCCTCACGCCGGACACGTCAAAATTCACCAGATGTTCCCACATTCATCGATTTTACTAAATTCCATCTGGCTCATAACTATGATAATATCTATGATATATCTATGATACGATAGACATATGAGATATGATATGTCGTATCTATGACATCATCCTATCGCTATAACGAGTGATATCCCCACAAAGTGCTATCAATTTTCCTGTCATCTAATGTAACATATCTAGCCAGCATCATTTATATTTTTCCAAGCTCCCAACAAGGTATCTAGTTGTGCAGCCGGTGTTGCTATCACGGCTGCACAGGTTGTCGCTCACCCGGCTTAAGCTGCTGGAAATGGTGCGACAGAATGCCAGCCGTCTCGAATTTGAGGATGAGCTGCAGCCGGTCGGGCTCGTCGGGTAGAGACACGGGTGAGAAGTAGCGCTCCTGCACCGGGTGGCCGGCGGGTCGGATCCGCACCTGGACACACAGCAGTGGTGAGATAGACAGTGTCCACATGTGTCTACACATGATAAAACTGCGTGGGTGGAAAACTTAACAGTGCAAACAAGCGTCTTCGAATTGCTGGTTTCATATTTATTCCATCCTCATCGTCCCGGGGGTCTACAATACTTCACGTTATTTGATAAACATACTTTGCGGGACTCAGTTCGCGTGATCAGATGGTCTCACAACACTACCAGTTTCTCAATGGAAGGACCCATTGGACGAGACGTGCCTTGACATACTGCCCCGGCAGGCAGCCGCTGTGCTTGTCCTTGCTGGGGTACGCGAAGTCAAACTGCTCCATGTTGTCGCCGATGGGTGAACGCTTCTGGAGCGTCATCTTGGTGTAGCTGTCCGGACTCAGGCCGGGCGTGCACTCGCGGCCATTCAGCGTCAGCGTCTGGTAAGTTCCAAAGGTTTCCAACAGAAAAAAAACAATATATCATGCCTAGCTTATTATGTTTTTCATGTTTCTATGGGCAAGAAAGCTATATCCTGAAAACGCCAACTCTAAAGAATGGCGAAATTGAATGGCATGTGCAGAGCCGTTTTGATCACATGAAACTCGCTGTTAGTATGGGATAGCAACAGGGTGACAGATGCCGGATAGAACGAGGTCTGTGCATCATTTGGAGCCTAAAACTAGAAATACACGAGATGCGTTTTGTAGACTAAAATTGTACTCTATCCTAAACATTAAGCGCCCGGTAGCTCAACGTAACGTGGCGTAGATGCTTAAACCGTGATTGCACATATAATTCATTTTCGAATGGTAAGCCCCGACTTCATGCCAAAAAACAAGGAATTTTTACATTTCATAACATCGACAGCATTCATTTCTTGTTAGCATTAGTTCAACATATTTCATGGGAAGTTCGCAAACACATTATAAAACGCCCTGACCTTGAACGCACGGTCATTTGATCATGGATCTGACCCGTCACCAACTAAGCTACCCAACCCATTGAGAATAGATCGAAAGTTGGAAAATTCACGGCGCGCCCTAACTGAAAACTTAGCTGCCGGCAGGCCGTGAGACTTTGGCATCTGCAGACAAAAGATGCTCAATGGGTTGGCACAAAATAATCAAGCAGTCTTTGTTTTGGTGCTGGGTTCATCAACACTGTCGTCATATAATTCAGTTTAAGCTTCGTGAAAAGCAAGCCTTCCACACGTAAACCCTATGGGCTAGTAGGAAAATACACCGTAGAGTTGCATGCTGCCAACGTACTTCAGTAGAGGCTGGGATAGTGAAGTACCCATGAGCTGCGATAGCTTGCCTTATACCGGCTATTCCTATGCAATTTTGGTTGAGCACGTTTAAAGGGAGTGTTCCACATTTACATGTTTTTTTTTTAACTGAAAAAGTCATCTTGAAGACAGTGTGGTGCAGTTCGCAGCTCTGCCCCATAAGTCCTTGTAGTTTCCGAGCTACATGCTCGGAAACAAGGAAGAACTTTTCACGCGGAGCGATACAAAGTCACCTTGACATTCACGTCATAATCACGCCATCGAAATTTTGCGATTCCATGTGCCATGTGGCCATCAAAGCAAAAAACATAATGATCGAGCCATTTATATCTGGCGTTCGTGAGCACAGTTTCCAGACATAACGGCCGTCAACGGGATCTCATTCAATATTTTGCCAGATGCGGTAACGTAACCAAGCAATCACGTATCGGGGAGCATATGTACTAAACAGAGAAATTGTCAGTAGCACTTTGTTGCCAATTAAAGGTGCATCAACAGTAATAAGTGAGCTTGCTTCTTCCGATCTAATGCTGGCTTCGAAGTCTTAAAATGTGAAACACTCGATTTGGGCAAATTTTGAGGGGTGGGAGAACACCAACTCTTCGTACTGCAAATATTTTCTCCTTCTAAAAATACCAAGATGCCGGTGTTCCGACCTTACTGTTCCCGAGGGTAACCGACCGACCTTGTTGACGTAATGCGGTGGCCCAGTGCTGAAGGGGTTCTCAAAGTCCTCATCGTCGATGCTGGCGACCTTGTCAGCCGAAAGGCGACCATTCTGCACGTCCTCCATCAGCTCTTTGGCGATGGCCTCCTTCTGCTCGGGGGACATCTTCTTGAGTTCGTGGTGCACTGCGCGCGTGTTGATATTCTGCTCCCTGTCAGCGCAAAGCAAAGGATTCTCGTCTGTAGTTAAGCATCATGAATATGCTTCCTTTGAAACTGCCAATGGTGTCATGGGATCCACGGCGCTGCCATTACATGTGATATTATCCGCAGTCAAAAATGATGGTGCATGTAAACTTTATAGCTAGGGTTAGTGAAGTTCGATCGCAAAAATACGGCTCACTTACCAGTAGTCCACGGCGTCCATACCAATAAGCACGGCTTTGCCGACGAACTGTCTGAGCACCTCGTTGCTGGGTCCCATCACCCACCCGGCCTTGCCGTCTCTGAGCAGACGCTCCAGACCTGGTGGCCAACGGAGGAACTAAGTCGCCACAGCCACCAGAGTTGGCCGGGCGGTAAGGAGGGCACTCTATAGGTGGACACGGCGGGTGCAATGAGCATTGAGGAGTGCCGGCCCCGCCAGGTCATCATAGCATTGTCAACGCTCATGTGAGTTGTGTGCCCTTGGCGTTCAGTCCAAGGTGCCAGCTGATCGATATTTGTAGGCGGGCGAAGCGCACCTTATCGTGAGAGCCTCAGACGACGGTCCGGTTGTCTTTCCTTCAGTTGAAATCAGCCAAACATTTGTTTCGACTTCACGGGTGCGAATAAACATGCTACGATATCGTCACCCCCTTTTGTGTGCCTCAGCGCATGTGATGCATGTCCATCCTCAAATCGAACAACATATAAGCAGATCTAGAAGGCCTCGTTCCGCAAAGCCGTATAACGAATGGAGCAGGTGGCTTATTGCGTGTGACCCTTGACATTGGGATCAGCATTGGGTCAGCACAGGTGAGACCTAACCCCGTGCGTTGTGAGACAACGTGACAGTGTTTCTTGAAAGCATTATGTACCCGTAGCTGGGCTGATATCAAGCGTAATATATCACTACGTGCAGATGACATTGAAACAAGGGGGACGCACAGGGACATACCGTATTTGAATATATTTCAAAACGTGCAATGAATGAGCTAAATATGGCGGTTGGGGTAGATGACTGACTCCTTGACGTAATTGCCAGTTGTACAATTACAGGTTTCAAAACATGTAATTATGAGTCCTGCGTGGAGAGCTTCGTGTTTATTGTTAGCATATATTAGTTATCTTCTTCAACCAACTATCGGAACAGAACCCCTATGCTTTCCATTTCGGGCTATAAAGCTCACCCAAGTCCACCTTGTACCCAGAGCCTCCTGCCGCATGCAGCATCTTATCGGTTACCACGTTCACGTTCTTGGCCGCGGAGAACTTCATTTGCCACAGCCAGGACAGGAACTTGGTTCTGCGAACAGGACATGCATATCTGGTAGCCGCCAGTGGAATATGTGACTGCTGCCCAAGTGCATCTGTACAAGTCATAATTCTGCATTTCGCAAAAATCAGCACGTGGTGAGCGATAAATGGCCGCACAAACCCTCACAGCTTTAACACGGGCAACGCCAATGCCACGACCGCCGACCGACGGCCCAACACAGTCTACTCCTGGAGCCGCACCTCGAAAACGGCGGCTCGTAACGAAATGAAATTCACACAGCGAGTTAGATCATCGAATGGGACGCTGGCAAATCTGCGCTGGCACGGGGCGCGCGACACGTGTATACGAGCTGAAAAGATGAAATTGACCATTTTTTTTTACCAGTTTTACATTTTGGGTCACACCTCGGCGCCCATCGCATATTAAGGATAGACCTTAGATTTCCCAACGCTTACAATTGCAGCAGCTACAACTTCAGCATGCATCGCGAGTTTTTTTGCGATGCATACTGCGAACAGATGCGCTGCAAATTGCAAGACATGCTGCAACTGGTGGCTTTTCACATATTTGCGTCGAATACAAGTCACTACGGCTAGAGCTGTTAAGAATTAAGTGTCAAAACTTAACACGCGCTCGGGTGGGGGAGGGGTCAAATTGACCCCCCGAATGGTTTTCCAGAATGGTTTCCAGAATGGTTTCCAGAAATTTCCAGAATGGTTTCCGACGGCGCGGCGTAGCCTCGCCAAATTTTGTACAGCCGTAAAAGATTCAATAGCCGATTGTTTAACATCACCAATTTAGATGCACCTTGTAAGGTCAATGACCTATGGCAGGTCAGTCAGGCCATGGTTTCAGCGAAGGGAAATTCTGGGGAATCGTCCAATCTGGTACAATAACGGAGTGTTTTACGAAGCCATACATCTCTGAGATGCTTTCTTGGGCAACACAAATATCGGATGAGCAAATTACGTTGACCTAAGGTCAGGTATGAAGATCGTACCAAGGTCACAACCAACCTGATTTATTATTCTGGAGCTTGCTGTAGGATGTAGTTTGTGGTGCTCATTTCCAATTTATTGACAGCAAGAACCGCATTATACATCGTCCATTGGCTTCCTAGAGGTCAGAAAATGTCATTGACCTAAGATGAGTCGGGTCGGCATTTTGTTTTATGAACATACTGCCTAGCGTAATCTTTGTTGCTTATTCAAATGCAAAACTCAGAGCAGTCTTGTATGATTTTGGTCACCATGACCTTCAAAGGGTCAAACAAGGTCACTGACCCCAAATGGACTTTTGACCTTTTGCTTAGAAAGTTTCCTAGGTTCTGGGGGCAGTTCGGAGACCAACCTAGAATTTCCCGTTGTTTGACCTTATTTGAAATGAAACTTATGACCTAGGAAGCTCAAACTTGAACCTGAGTGAGTTCTCGTACAGGTCAAGACACCCTGCAAATTTGGTGTCTCTAGCTTTCTTAGTTCCCCGAGATCTCAGGAGGGCCAAATTGAGCCCCCCCCCCCCCGAACGAAGGGTACCTAGCCGGACACCCGGGCGCGTCTTAATCACCATGTTGGCCAAGCTGTCCTTCCTCTTTACTACTCCTTTGTTGATGGCTTTTACAATATTGGCTCGCCAACGAGCCTGGGAAACCAGCCGCATGGCGCTTTTTACGCCGCGACAAGGTGCTGCCCCGGCTCCCGGTAGTTCCAACCGAACGTTCAAGGCCAACCGGCCGTCTGCATACGTGACTGGATTCCGACGACGGAACGGAGCGGCCCGGCAATGGCACGGCAAGATGTGCTATGCAACTTGGTAAGGTCGCATGTATGATGTTCCATGCACACAAAAATGCATTTCGTTCTCTTCCACTGGCCCACACGTTTTGTGGCACATCTCGGCACCCAGGAGACGGACACACAGTGGCGCGTTTCGATGGGGAAAAATATGCAACGCCAGACTGTGCGGCCCCACGGCCACGTGTCGCGCCTACACGAGGTGGCAAGGTGGATTTTGTTGCTTTCAGCGATGACCACGTTTGGTGCCACATTTCGGCACTCAGGATTTGGAGGGAATCGGGAGTGCAACGCTTTGATAAATGTAGCGTGCAATCGGCCGTTGAGAGAATGGCTCACACGTGGCACGTGTCATGGATGCACACGCGCTGGGAAGTGCATTTTGCCACTTTCAATGAGTCTACATGCTTTTGCGATATATCAGCGCCTAACAAGCAAAGTGACTCTAGATTGGCATGCCTCGATAGGCAGTCTAACCGCAAATCACGTGTTTAACATATGATGTTGCACATGTAATGCGCGCGCTGGCTGTGAAGATGGACTTTGCCGATTTCGTCGGTTTTTCCGTTTTAGGCCATATTTTTGCACCCAAGGCACGTATTGACACGGGCCTGGTATGCTTTCATACGGTAGTCAACGGGCAGTCGTGTGTCCCCAGGAGTGCACGCGAATGGGCCACGTGTCACCCCCACACACGCCGAAATGATAAGACTTGTTATTTATGACAGGCTTACCGGTTTTTGGCCACAACTCGGCACCCAGGGCATGTTACGACGGGGGGCTGGAATGCTGCGATAGGTCATTGGACGGGCTATCGCGAAGTGTCCTTTCGCAAGTGTGTGGTCGCATGTGCCATGTGTCGAGCACACAAGAGCTCGTAAAATGGGTTTTGCTCCTTTCTAAGGGTTTACACGTTTTTTGCCACGTCTCGGCATCCAACGCACGCCCTCACTCGGTAGTGGCATGTACTGATAGGGATTTGAACAAATAATGACGTCACATGAATTTCAATGCGCACGTGTTCCGTGTCACGAGTGCACGAACCAACAAGATGGATTTGGCCTTTACCAACGTTGTTCACGTTTTGCGTCATAGGTCGACACCTAGAGCAGCTAGAGACGTGAATTCAGCTACAAAACATAACCATTTTAATTTCCACATCAAGCGCAGCGAAGCAAGACTGCAAACGCCTGTTGTACCCTAATTATGCCTGTAGGATATAGCCATGAGTTTGTTCAGCGAGTGATGCCTCGGCATGGTACAGCCGTCCTCGAGTAGCACTAAATCTGATGTTAGCGTGTGCTAACCATCATTTAATTACGCTGTCGACTGAGACCATTACAAAACGTGCCTTAACTGGCGGCAATGTCAGCTAAAGCTACTACACTGACCAACCCATCGACCATCGAGTCGGTGCAGACGCAACACACGGACAGGTACGAGAATTGCTGGAACAAATATTGAAGAAAACAACGCGACACATTTGCTTTAGAGAAGCTATTACCCACTTTTTTCGTGTCCAGCTCTCATTGTCAGGGCTCATAAAAGATTCGACCACAACATCCGAAAAAGGCATCCTGCTGATGCTACACGTTCTTATCAGTTGTGGTAGCCATACCCACGTGAGCCCTACCCCAGTTTTCCAACCCGTGATGTCTAAGTTCCCCGGGCCTCACTGACCTCGGCATGTACGTGATGTCGCTGTGCTTTTCCCAGCTGTTGTTGTCAGTCACTTGGTCCATGCCCATGGCGAGCGACGCGTTCATCAGCCGCGTCGCGTTCGTGTCGCATACGCATTCGCCGAAGTAGTCCTGGTGGGGGCGGACACAGTTTGCTGTGGAGGAGCCTTGGAAAGAACAGTCACACTATGACCATGCATGCATGCGGTGAGGAGTGAACTAAACTGTACACATGGCGCAACCCACATGATCATACTGTACCCCATTGTGTAAAGGTAAGGAAGGAGCACCAGAACACTGAATCCCCTTCAGACCACTGGACAACCCAGTGCGCCTTCCTACCCCAACACTGACCTGGATGGTCGGGTAGTCGCACACGCGCATGCCCACGTCGCCGTGGGTCTTCCTGGTGACGTGCTTCTTTACCAGGTCGATGCAAGCCATAGAGATACCGTTCCAGCAGGCCGAAGAGAGCAGTAGGAAGAACGGATCCACGCACTCATCATTTGCTCGCGCGCCATCACCTGAAGCACAGTGCAGCAAATGATAGATGTTTCCTTAACATGTTGCAGTACTTGACATCGCTTTTGCAGTAATTCAGTGCAGTCGAGACATTTTTCGTTCAGGGTTAGCTCTGTGATGGCCCTACAGACGTAGATAAGAAGCTGGTGAGATAGCCATGCAGTTTAATGAGCATAACGACGTAGCTACATGTTTTAATGTCAATAGCTCTAAACACCAGTGGTAGCAATTGTAGTGTAACACACCCTTTTCTCGGTTCAATCACCTACACACTTTTCATGGAAATGCAAACAAATGACGCACTCTGAATGGCCTTGCATGCCACCGGACAGACAGTTGATGTTTCCCAATGACGTCATAACCAGGACATCCGATGACACCTCAGCTGAAACGCGCAGCGTGCTATATCACTGCGTCTTCTAGCACATCATCCAATCATCAGCACCCACAAAGACCCTTGTTACCGACATCTAGGCGTGATCTCCCGCTCTAACGACGCCGCACGTGACTTACCGATGGGTCCGATTCTCCTGTCGTTAGGCAGGACTCCCTCGCAAATCAGCGGTCCCGACTGGTTTCCGTGCAAACCCAGGGAAAGCCATTCGTTGGCATTGGCTCGCACCTCGTCCTGCAACGGCCCCACGCCCATGGGTTATGTCGGTTATAATAGGTAATATACAACGAGCAAGGCTGTGGAGCACTTCACACCAACACATGTGCGACATAGAGGTAACATATTTCGAGATTGATTCGTCTCTTAGGCGGTAAATTACTAAAGCACTGTGTTGCTGTGTGATCTGTTCTCGAACAATAACCATGCACGTTAAATGGCTGTAAAATACAGTTGTGTGTATGCTTATATATTACTGTTTTATAAGCTGTATGGAATGCGTTTGCTTTGAGTAAAAGCGATGAGGTTTCGTTGAGGTTGTTTCTAGTCTGCTTTATGATCACTGATATTCTCAGGCACATCTTGCTTTTCTGAAAACCACTACCGAAAGTATAAGATCTGTTCCATCACCTTTACCATCGGAATCGAATTCATACGCAGTACTGGTAAGGACAAGTAAACCGAAAGCATTCCAAAATCATATGAGTCGCAATATAAGCCCAAACATGCCTGTGCTCACTTTCATAACCAGGAAGCAGGAGAGGTCTGCGAAGTTGCCAGGCTTGGCACCGGGGCTGACTGTCTGGATGGCGTACCAGTCAGCAAACCCGGCCGAGGTGGCCCACGAGCCGTACTTGAGCAGCTTCACATGGTTCTCGTCGAGCTGACGACACTTAGACGACAGCGGGAACCAGAAGTGGCCGCCTGGGGCACGCGAGGGTGCCACAGGTCACAAAAGACGTCCGGCCGATAACATTAAGACGACAGGGGGAACTTGGTCCTGGGCACGTTGGATTCTGGGGCATGGATCCTGGGGCAACACTTGGATTTCGATGGGAACGAAATATTGCCATTTGGCACGGAGGAAACATTTCGCTCAGAGCTATGCCCATTAGGTGCCCAAGAATCGCGGTGGGCATGTAAAGTAGTTTGTACAGCATCATGGATGGAAACAGACTACCAACTCGACGTGGGTCTGCTTCCTTTTTCCAGCAGTGTCTTGGTTAGTGCAAACCCACCAGTGCTTTGTGCTCGACACATTTAGTCTCTTGCAGAACGCGTTGCCGTGCTTCCTCCGACATGCTCCTTCCCATGTTCCAAGCTTTTCGACTGTCTCCTTGGTGCTTGGCTTCTGAAGTTTGTTTTTTGTGTCTGGTTTGTGATGCCTAGTCTCATAAGTGTCCGCTCGGGACTTCCGGTCTCACTGGTATTCGGCTTGTGAAGTCTGGGTTGCTTGGGTTCTGGCTCGTGATGCGTGGTTTGCATGGTGTACTTTCGTGACGTCCAGTCGATCTCGTGGAGCCTGGTCTCCTCGATGGCCTGTATAGGACGTCATGTTTCCCTGGTGTCTGGTCCGGGACGTCTTTTCTCGATATATTAATGATTAGATAGGCAGTCTTTCTATCGCGAGCAACGTGCGGACATCACCGGTTCAAATAGTTGCCAAACTAATGCGAGATGGAAGTTTTTGCTGGCATTAACTGATCTCTAATTTACCAGGAACTGTTGATGAAAGGTTGCCATTAAGCAAAGAGATTGAAGATACTGTAAAAAACGCTGTGTTTTCACTCAAGACTTTGTGTTTTGAGCTTGGACAATATAATCAATGTTTGCATGATAACCAATACGTTCTGTTTTCAGTTCATTCTGTTTAGGTAAGTTAATTGTATTCAGGAATCATTCAAACAGGCAGCTTGCTGTTTGATTCCATACGCTTACAATAGTAGTATGAATGCAATAGTAATACAGTGACAACGCAAGCACATTCGCACGTTATCAACCATTCATTCCCACCACTTTGTCAAAAAATCTGAATCTATGTCGCCAACACACGTGACACAACGGCGAGCAAGCAATGATTACACAACGCGACCGTCTAAATCCTCCAACCTGGTACCAAACTCATTGTGGTTGCGAGAGGCAGTGATGGTCTGCGTACCACCGCGACCCCACGTGCCACCGACAAGCGGAGAGCTGGCAGAGCAAGGGCGCCCGCCGTGCCGTCCGGGTGGCACGCTCGCATACAGCGGTACGTGGCCGTGTGGCACAGTGTGGCAACAGTGACCGAATGGCACCCGGAGCCCCCGAGTCGTTAAGGGCCCTGGATACAGCAAGGCTGGGTGACAAAGTCACGAGCAGCGCGCCAGCCCGGCGCTTGAACAGCCGCCGCCATCGAATCTCGCCAGCGACCTTCGGTGGCAATCCTGGCGCCAAAGTTCATCACGCCTTGCACTCTGTTTAGGCGACACGCTGCAGCGCCATGCCAGACAGAGAGGCAGTACAGAAGAGGGAGGAAGCATCGGACTGGATGGAAAGTTTACGAACCTCGGGCGTAGAGCGATGACAAATGTTACACAAGCAGAAGAGGATAGAGCTGCCCTTTTCAAAATATGGGGCATGTGCATCTCCCACGAATGGGTACTTTCAATAGTAAACCCCAGCACTTTCACGGACGGTGATGGCATCATTACCCAATCAATCTAACTAATACCTTCTGGTATACTGAAGAGCATTTCTTTTCAGCACAAGAACTGCACGCTCACAACGCTAAAAAAGAGGAGCCCAATGCTTGTTTTTGTCCAGATCAAGTTGCTAAAATGTTCGTCACTGCAGATATCTCGGGATAACCTATCCCGGCGGGAGCTGTGGTACTCGGTGAAGCATGGGAAAACCCTGCGAATGTTTAACTTGGCAAAGTAGCAAATGTTGACCGTAACCAAGAAAAGCAGAGTGTTTTGCGTCATTGACAGACGTCAGCAACAGGCGTGTCTCTCCATCTGGCACCAAGCTGAACTAGAACCATGATACAAACAACGGTGAGGCCTGGCATCTAACGAATTAAACGATGACCAGATCTTCTCAACTACACACACTCAGGCCAGGCCAACCTTAATGCTGGCGAGCATAAAGCCCTAGCAATAAACCCTCCCAAAGCATTGAACGATGATATTTGAGAAAAAACAGAATCCAGTTCTGGATGTGACACAGTGCCCCAAGGCGTCTAAGACGATCTAAGGATGGGTTGCCATACACCAATGATAGTTTCATATAGCCGTCAAAAGACCCCGACCTTCCTAGAGAAATCGCGTACAGAAGAATCTCATTCCGCTCCGATTTCGTTAATAGATGCATCATTTATTGCTAACAAACAGCAACAAACTAAACAAACCATATTTCGTGACGGAAGTTTAGTGCAAACATTCCGAAATGGCGTTACACCTCAACATGACATGACCCCGAGCCACTTGTTTGCGAACATAAGCAATGAAAGCATTATCAGCTAAGACAAAATTATTGGAAAATATTGGATGGTTCTCCCTTCCGTCAGAAACACCGCTTGGGGGAAACCCATCCACCAGCTAGCCCAGCGAGGGTTTAAGGTTACATGAAAGCCTCTACAATCAATAATTGTTGCAGATCAGGAACACGATTTAAAAGTTTTTTGACGAAACAAAATATGCATCATCGAAAGAAAACAACCCTTGCACAAAGAGTTCCTTGTCCGGTTAACAGCATCCAAACGTCATTGCATACACAGGTAGGATGTTCTACGGCGTCCTATCTCCCAGCGTGATACGAAATGCCAGTCCATAATACGCCAGTATACTTTTTAAATTGAGCACTGTACTTGGAGGTGCATACAAAGAGCGGATCTATCACACGTTAAGTCACTTTCCATTATCCCTGTCGACCGGTGGTGCTGCTCTTCCATTCGGTCAGTGTCGAAACCGAAACTCTTCAAAATCCTACAACGTAAGAAACACTCGTAGAAAACAGTTTATCCCCGAGCTAAGAGCAGATCTTGAGATGCTTTGAGGCAGGCTGATGCTGGCGATATCTCTGGCGTCCAGGATGCTACTGTGAACGGTACAGCGACGCGATAGCGCAGAACACGATTACGCCGCAACGCCCGCCATCTTGGTTTGTTTGCTCTCTAGGTTTTCAGTCGGCTAATGTCCGGCTGTCGTGCCCGAGTCTGGCATAATGAGAGATGGGCACGGTGATAACCTAGGTGAAACGTTATTAGTGATCACGCCAAACACGCATAACGAGCTAGAGCCATAAACATGTGACCGGTTTGGTTGGAGGTCACCTTTGACCGTCAACGGCGTTCGATGTGTAGGTGGCAGATTTTGGTCGAAACGTATGTCAGCAATTCCCCGGGCTTGAGGCTGGCCATGGCAGCACTGCCGTTTCACCATGGTCCTTTATCTTTAGAAGCCCGAAAACGGGTGTCGATTAGGCAAGCCAACTTTTAAGCGAGCCCTCTATATTCATAATATGGTCCTTGTTAACGTTTTTAGAAAATAAATACATGATCCCTCACTCCCAGCATGCAATTAGCGCGCCTATGAATTCCCCTAAAATGCTGGTGCACATGTGTAAGGTACAGTGACGCAATCAATGACGTACTGAGAAGCATAGTTACTAAACAGAGAAATTGTGTTATCTAGTGCAGTTTTTCTTCTTAAATGTGTCTAACAATTGTGCGAGAGCTTGTACCATGATAGCTGATGTTGGCTTCAAGATATTCAGATCTGAAACACTTCATTTGAGCATCCATAAAAGGTAAAATATATGTCCCATCTTCCCGTATATAAAACTAATACGGCTATAAATATATCCAAATGTTGGTGCCCTTTCCCGCATATCCCAACGCCATGCTTTACGGCCGTTCGCTGCGGAACGACCGCCGAAAATCGTCCTCCGGTTACACAACAAACTATTCTACGCGCCTCAACGCAGTGCGACATGCCACTGTTAGATGTCACTCACCGGTAGCCGGGTCACTGAAGGACAACGTCCCCACCAGCCTGTCCTTGTCCAGGCGGTGCAGCACGTCCTGGATCGTTGGATTGTTGTGGTAGCGGAAGAGCAGGGTCGACACGGCAGCCACGTGCATAGCTGAGGGCCAAACAAGACGTGTCACCCATGACAAGGCGTGCACCGATCGCTGCCGGATCACTCAGTCAATTCAGTACATGCAATGGACATGGCTGTATAACACAGCTGTGACGCGCCGTGGCTGGACAGATGTCATAATGTACCATAATAGAATGCAATACGTTGACGAAAGAGGACAGGTCGTGGCAAAGTTTTGACAGCCAGCCAACATATGGTGGGCTATTCTGAACAAATGATAGCAATACTCAATCTTATTACTGACCAGGCTTGAGGCTTTTAAACTGGGCTAAGATTTGTGCGCAATATTAGACCACAGCAGCGCACTGACAGCAAAATAAGCATTCTGAATCAATGCCAGCAATGTACTCACTGTGAACCATGCCTTGGCAGGGAATGTGATATAATCCCAAAGCGAGGATACAATAACACAGGGTACTCACGGTTCAAGGATGCTTGCGCTAAAACAGGTCATGGGGATAAAAATAACTGCGCAACGAAGGGTAATTAAATAGCCAGGTAAAACTACCGATAGCTTTCAAAACAGTGTTTATTATTACAGGCCACAATAATACGGGAACATGTGGATGAACAGTACAGCACATAATGTAAATTGGGGTTAACAAAGACGTTTCACTAAAGTTCATTTTTGCCCAAGACATGGCTCAACTCCAGTAAACTATGGCATAAACAATCGCCGAAATCACTGTAGACAATGGCGCTGCTGGCAAAGGTGCTTACTATAAGCCATGAAGGTGCTATCGATACTCCCTGTCAGCTTTGACGATGCTAGTGACATTGGTTAAAGTACACCACGAGGCTGATGGCAGAATTAGACAGTAGAGCCCATGACGGTGCTGGCAAACGCACTCCCTGTAGGTCATGGCGGTGCTACGGACATTGTTCACTGTAGACCAAGGCGGTGCTACCGACTACTCACTTTAGACCATGGCGGTGCTACCGACAGTACTCACTGTAGACCATGGCGGTGCTGCCGACAGTACTCACTGTAGACCATGGCGGTGCTGGGGCAGCCGTAGCGGGCCAGGGTCTCGACCACCATGGCGGTGCACACGTGATTCTCCCCAAGTCCGCCCAGCTCTTTCGGGACGATCGCACCCAGCAGACCCATGTCGGCCAAGGCGTTCAGCGACTCCCGCGGGTACTCATAGGTCTTGTCGCAGTGGATCTGCGTTGCAGCAGTACACCGTTATCGTCGCTATCCACTGTGACATACCTTTGTCCCGCTGTACAAGTACAGGGATGTCACGGCCGCTCGCGTATGTTCGGTCACGATGCTTGTTGTTTTGCAATGTGCTTGTTTCGCGGTTATTGAATAGTGGTGTCCCGTTCTGTGACGGCCGCTTTACATCCCAGCAATGAGTCGTAAAGCACAGCGCTAACGCTATGAAAAGAGTTAAGTTGCAGTAATAAACTGTTGTAAAGCTAACGGCTTACTGGCCATTCCACGGATGATCCGGTCAGCGCGAAAGAAATCCTGCCATTTGTTTCTCGTTTCGAACTCTTGGCTCCCTCTACAAACGATAGAGTAACCGGAGTGCGGTACGCCCGCTCGGTGTTAGTTTTCAGCGTCTTATTCCCGTTACATCTGCATATATCGGGTAAAATAAATCGAAAACAAGTGCTATGAGTACGCAAGAGTGAATGGCCGCATGTCTCTTGTGCAAACGTGCGCCAAATACGGGCCACCTTGTTCACCTTATCCACGAAGGAAGGCGATTTCTTTTAGAATGGTGCGGCCCACCACCTGCGGACGAGAGACAATGGGCCACATTTTGTCAACGCTTATAGGAGGCACCTAACTCAGCAGAGAAATTGAGCTTGCACCACCTTCGCACCAGGTATGTTGATGTGGGAGTGGGAGGTGGGATGTGGGAGTATGTGAAGTGGGAGGGGAGAAAAGGGAAGAGGCTAATGACTAGTGCCAAAAAGAACAGCTGAAAGTCAAACGAGATCGGCAAGGCAACTTCGAATTTACTACCCATAACGTTTGCATAGTCAAGCAGACGAAATACAAATACATCTATATCTCCTTTCTCCTGGTTATTCCACGAGGAATGAGGTTCACCGTAATGTCTTATCTATATGCATAATGTCCTCCGCAAATGCACTCAAAACCTTACGTAGCCCTGAATGGTTTGGCCCATTGTTTAAACTAGCTTTTACAACACCACTGATCCGTCGAATCCTGCTCGTTCAAACTGGCAACTACGCACAATGCATGTGACAAACATCACGAATTTCTCACGGCTACGCCTCAACCATTCTATCGCAATGACCCCTGCGTAAAACATTTTTTTGGCGTCTCTTCTCCGTTTAGTTCAATTGGTTTCTCAATATTATCATTGAAAAACAAGTTATTGTTTGCAGCGCATCACAGACCATGTTTATTTGTGAATCGAGGAAAAAAGTTTCAAGATGTGAATTTTCACCTTCCTCTAAGATCGTTCCCTTAGAATACTAGATATGGATATGAATATGATAAGGATATGATAAGTATATGATAAGGATATGATAAGCATATGATAAGCATATGAAGGATATGATATAGATAAGGATATGAACCGCGCATTGTAACTTGAAAAATGAGTCCGGAGCCCCATACCCCTGTCACGCCAACGTCCGCACCCACTCCCTTGAGAGAAAATTCCAGCCATGAAGAGGCGACTGACGGAAAACCTTTCGCACCGAAAGTTAGAGGAGGCCTGAAAAGTCGTGAGGACCCACCGAACTCGAAGATCAAGGGCTCGACGGTAAGACCAAATGGCACGAATGACTTCCTGCGCGCCATTTAAAGAATCACGGCCCGTAAGTTTGCCATCCTTTAAATATCAGTCAGAGGGCCTCTTGCGCCATTTGAGGACCCCTGAGGCAATGCATGCATCTGTGATGGCCACAGACCACCAACACCGACCAGTTGGCTCCCCGTTAGTCTGAAACCTTGGGATACATTTCCCAAGCAGGAGCAAGACCGGGGCCTCGACATGCATTGGCCTGGGTCCATGGACCAATGGTCGGACCCCTGTGTCGGTCAGGTCCCACAATGCCTAACAGGGGGTCCTGTGTAGGCCGTGACCTCGAGTCGGTAACAAGCTTTTTTAGGTCCGAAGAAGGACCAAAGGGCCACTCGGGACCATAGATCGAGACCCTGATTGCAAGGCTGAAGAGCCCGAAGGACTGGCCTTAGGTCACATTAGGGACCCCCCCCCCCCCCGCCCATAAGGCCGTGAACTCAAATGTTCGTCAAAGGACCTCCTGCATCGATTGGGACCCTGGGACAGTGCGAGCCTCTGTTTCGATCAGGGACCAATGACATCGAACAGTCGGTTTCGTGTCGGCCTGGGCCCTGGGGATCCACTTCCCACGCATGAGCGAGGCCAGACCTGCGATTTGCACCAATCGGGGTCACTGAAACCATGAGAGGGTCAGTTAGGGTCCAACAGTGCCCAACAGGGGATCCTGTGTCAGCCAGTGGCCCGAGTCGTTAGGAGCCGCGCTTGCGGGATCCTTCGAGGTGCCAAAGCGTCTCTCGACACCAAAGGTCAAGGGCCCGATTGGACGACTGAAGGGTCCGAAAAGGTGGCTGAAGGTCACATTAAGAACCGTAGGGCTGTGATCTTAAACGTCAGTTACAGGCCTTCTTCCACCGAGTGGAGACCTTTAGACAGACCTTTCTTCTTTTCAAGCAGAGATCACCAACTTTGAACAGTCGACCCCGTGTCGGTCGGAGCTCATTTCCCATGCATGGACTAGACTAGACCGCTGTTTACATTGGTAGGGCCCCCTGAGACAATGCGGGGATCCTGTATCGGCCAGGGGCTTGCAGTGCTTAACAAGGTGTCCTGTGTCAACAAAGGGCCTTAAGTCGGCCAGGGAACATCTTCTGAAGAGCGACGGGGACGGAACCCCGAATATCAGAGGACATCTTGCGTCGCTCGGGGCTCTCTGACAATGAAAAGAAGCATAAAAAGTAATGATGAGGGTTCACATTCACAACACAACAAAAGGGTCCTGTGACAGTTACGGCCTCCAGTACCGAACGGCGGGCTCTCCAACCTCATTCTCGCGTGGGGCCGTTAAACCGAACTGGAGTTAAGCACAATCATTGAACCACTTGTGGCGATCAGGGATTGTGTTGCGTCAATGAGGGTTCCGGCATCGATCCGGGGCGAACTGCGCGGGTCGGAGGGTTTCCCGCGTCAGGAAGGGACCAATGTGATATGATGTATCCCTTTACCGGCCTCCAAGTCGAACAGCGGACCCCATCCCTGTGTCGCCAAATGGCAGCCGGGAGACGCCCCGCGGTGAGACGAAATCGCCCATAAGCCCTCGATCGGGTACAAAAGTGTGCACTGCGGCGTTCCACTAAAGGGAACCCATCGCATAGAAAAAGTAAGGGGCTCATTAGTGCCGACAAGAGTGGGTCAAAATGATCTGAAAAGCGACCTAGGTCATCCCATGTTTGCCTGAAAACGTCTGTTTTTTAAACATTGAATAGGGAAGCAAACAACAAACAGTTTTAGACCCGCAACACCTAATATAGGGACTACACTTCACTCTTCTAGTTCCACCACTAGATTCCAGCATCACTCATGGTGCTCTACATGCCAATCCGTGATTGTCATCTATCTAAAAATCGCACAAGTAAAAGATACGCCCGGAACATCTTCTAAATATACGATTTGATTTCCTAAAGCACTAATAGGTACTTCTTTTGAATGCGCCATCATTTTCGTCCACCCGTTGGCCACGGCTTAGTGTTAACCACGGGGCCGACGCTGCGAGACATATGGAGGCTGCAACGCCTGGTGTCGAGGTTTTGTTAGTGAGATTTTCGAGTTTGCATGTTCAAGACCACGTTCAATAACATTTTCCACTATTCGATTTTGACCAAATGTTAACATTTCCAGCCAAACATAGCTGGGCCATGGTAATACAAATCGTTGTCTTGCTTCTATCCAAAATGTACATTCGCGCGGTCCTTAATATCTGTCAAAGCCAGATCAAAATTCGGACAAAACTTCCGAGTAATGCCGTTTTATAAAAGGTCCACCGGATTATTTCAAATGAGGAGCTTCAGCGGTCTAGATTCTGCAGTTGTTTAACACATGATTTCTTCAGTTTATTTAATACAACATTCAGACAGAATTAATCTCGTAGTAGCTTCTGGCTTCTGTTCCAGTTACACAAGATAACAATAAAAAAGAAAACATGCCTTCATTTGAAAATGGGACACATCCGGCGACTTTTTTTTCGTGACGAGGGCCTTTCAAAATCAGGAGGCACATTTCGCATGCATTTTGAAGTTGCACAGAAGGATAGGGCATTGATGAAATTCATGACCCATCTTATGCTAAAACTACGAGGTTATTCAGGACACAGTACTAACAGTTTTATTACGGCAGGCAGCAGGTTAATCATCTCAGCGACGATTTCAGTATGACAACACTTAAAAAGTCTAAGTTTGGGTCAATACTACAATATTTTGTATCTGATTGCTCAGCTGTAACCAGTGTTCTCACTATCATACCTATTACACAATATCATGAATTCATGTGCAGCAAGTTCATCTCTTTGTGACAAACGTGACCAGTCAGTTTTTAGTGGAAAGTAGTTATAGAAAAGTAATGTGTCAACAACTCACGCTACATTTGATTCAAAATGTGAACAGCAGGATATGGTCTAGGGTGGTGTTAGGTTCACTAAGTGCTCTCGTTGTCTTGGAGCGTCAATTCTGTATATTTTTCTGACAATGATGTATCCTCTAAATCTAGCTTAGCTGCACGTTCCACTCCAGGGGTTGTTATGTCCCTGCCCAGAGTCAGTGGATGGAGATGACGGTCATGAATTGCAAGACTTGGTGACAAATTAGAAGATGTGCGTATTCAGCTACCAATTATAGATATATAGTGTGCAGATTTTTGTAAAGCTAGCTCTTGGGCTTATATACCTAGTGTGGCCAATGGTAAAACATTTCTATTCTTATGGCAAAATCCTGTTTACCAATGTGTTTTGGGAGCATGTACACCTAGCCTAAAGTTTCTCAGACCTTTCAGGCCTTTCAGTTCATTCAGAGAAGTCTTTGAGACCTATACATTACACAGAAAATGTCCAATACGGGCTCACCGTCACGAAACTTACCGTCTTAATGTCAACCGTCATGTTATGCATCTCCAGCTGGGTGTAGTTTCCTATTCACCAGTGGTGGTGGGGCTCCAATCCGAAGCTTGAAGAAGTAAGTCGATCTAATTTGGAGAACCACAATTGTGTGTATTTCAAAGCACCTTTTGTTATGCTTTCTTGCTAAATCCCTGTCCTCAAACGAACTTTATGGAATGTATCCCAACGCCGAGAAACGAGCGTTCCATGCTGGCAGACTATCCACGGGGGGCACAGGGGCGCAGAGGGCGAGAAAGAGATATTAAGGCGGATACAGCGCCTTGCATTGAAAACAAGACATTGAAAGTAAGGTAAGGCTAAAGTGTCCGCATTAGATGTCATGTCGCAACAAAATGTCGCAGAAAATTATTTCTGCTATGGACTCATTCTCGCTCCGTGAAACCGGGACGAAAGCAGCCATACTGATGCGTTTACGCAGTTACACTTCGCGCAAACTTCGTCCAACAGAGCGGCACAGCAGTAGCTCCTTCACTTTTCGGGTGCCGCAACATACTGTTAGGCACGCACTTCTTGCGCGCTTCTCAATGCCAAAAGACAGCAATACATATACAGGCTGTTAAGGTCAGACAAGTATCCCCACAAGACGATGTCCCCAGGCTGTTGAAGATCAAACAGGCAAAACGGGCTATCAACATCAGTGAACCGTGCGACCGCGTCTCTACATGGCGTGGGTTGCTTGTCACTTAGGTTGCTTGTCACTTGCGTGGGCTCTGCAAATAAAGTCATGGGACTCTCTAATTGTACAGCGGGCCCTCTCAGATCTTAGAAAAAGTAGATTGCACGTGGCGAACGAAATAGTTGAACGAGACAGGGCTGCTGCCTCCATTCCAGTGGGCCTACAGCCCACGCCACTCAATCGAGGATGCTGTGCTCGCCGTGGTCGAACGCCTGGTCACCAACACCGACCACGGTCTTGTTTCGTCGGTAATGACGATCGATCTGTCAAAGGCGTTCAATAGAGTCGGCCACGACGCCTCCCACACGAGCCGCCCTGCCGCCCTGCCGCCCTGGTCCGGCGTTCGCGATATGAAGTGGTTTAGGCGTTACGTGATCGTGGTATTGAGTGGTCGAGGGCGGGTGGTTCGTGGAGGACGACTCACTTTTCCCATGGCGTGCGGTGTGCCCCAGGGTTTAATCATCGGTCCTATTTTCTTCATTTTGTTTGCCAACCACATATATGGATGCTTGACCCACGGCCGCTTCATCCCCGCAATGACAACACGATGCGCGTAGACGGCGTGCCCCCTGAAGTACCGGATCTCGCCGACCTCAAAACCATGTCTTAAAAAATGGCGTGTAAACGGTCATCACATATTTATATGCAGCATACAGTCTTGGCAATCGCAATTGACTCCGCCGTGAAAACTGACCCGTGGGACGGTGACGAAAAGGATCGAGTGACGGAACCGCTGACGGAGACACGGCCCACACCATTCGAAGTTTTGGACCAGTATGGATCAAAGTCTACCCTTCATGTTGTGCCCTCGGACTGAGGTAGGGTGCACCTGCGCAGATACCGATTGACCGCCACACGGAGTGCGCTTCCACATTGGGTCGCAGCTTCCTGCCATCGCGCGCTATGATTCCATAACACTGGGTGTTTAAAACCATACGACGTAATTTTGACCACTGACCGCTAATCTGATCCGGCCCGCATTACGTAGATAGCTCTGTCTTAACTCTTTGGCTGCTGTCTGCGTCATGTTATTTTATGCTTTTAATGCGTGCCTTTTTACACCGCGACTTTAAGTATGTAATTTCAAACACGGCTATTACCTGACATCGTAATAGCCACCCTGTGGATGGTTACGATGTAAAAGCGTACTCGTGTTCAACATGTACACGTATATATACACGCACACACACATCCATACGCACGCCAGCACTCACGCATGCACACACCGACAAGCAAGCGCGCAAACGTGCACGCACGTGCCCAGGACGCACACTCACCTGCACACGTACACGACGGGAATCCGTATACTGGCGATGACGTTACCGATCGTGGAATATAAATACATTTGAAACCTACGAAGGTTTCCATACAAGCACGGTACCACGTAGTCAAATGGCGTATCGTGAGGACAAACTTAATACAAGGCATTATGCTCGAAAAGAGGCCGGTGTGAAAATCTGCAAATGAATTACTCTTAAGCCCCCAGATTAATCAGCATACGTTTAAGGCAAGGGAGGGTTATGGCATGTTATAAAAGAGCACGTACCGCGTGAGGTCGTATTTTCTTACGACAGAGCTCGATGAGGTCCGCCTGGAGCTTCTTCTGCCGGTCGGTTAGCGTCCATGAAGGGTCAAACTCGGACCCAACGCCCCAAAATGGACGTGAGCCCCACATCTTTTCCGACCCGTCGTCCATGCTGCTGTCAGTGGTCTGCAAACAAGAGGCGGCATGGTAGATTACATTGCTCGAGGATCGGACTTCCGCAGGCCGCTGCAATAAGTGTATCAATAATGAGAACATGGCCTGGCTCTGTAATGATGTGAAAAACAACCGAAAAGTTACGCCTCTGGTCTTGTCACCAGCCATTCATCCGCAATTTTCGCATAGAACCGGTGATGACTATAAGCAATACGCTTTTCAAATGGGCATGTTCAGAGTTGTCTATACACCTTGAAACATTTGTGCTCACTGCGGTTTGGGTACCACTCACGCTTCATACCATATTTTATCAACCATCGCAACAGCCTGATCAGACAGAACAGTTTCTCTGATTCAGCGCACCGTGTGAGTTATAAAGCACTTATGCTTACGCAAGTTCGAGGCTCACACAACCAACCATTTGTATCAATGATGTTTGTTTGAGATCGTTCAGGCTTTCCACATAGGGGTATCGGGGTGGACTGGGGGCGGGGGTGGGTGTGGGATGGCAGGGATGGGGGGAGGGGGACGGTGGAGGTGTTTTCTAGGATCAAAATCAACCTGAGGGCAAATTTAAAGGCATGTGGAGTCTTAACACGTTTCCCTCCCATTAATTCAGAGTGGGCTCAAGTAAAAAATCCAAATCATTCCGCGATTTCGACTCCCACGCGCCCGACTTCTCGCATTTTAAACAGAGTGTTCCATATTTGAAGATAAGGATGCAGGCACCATTGATCACCGAATGCGTCATTGATTACCGAATCGCATCTTGCACAACATTGAGAGCCTGTTGAGGACCGTTATATCTGGAAATTGGAAATATCCGACTATATTATTATATTCTTCTTGGCCTGGATCACCACAGGATCAATGCGATAGCAGGATTTGAATGACGCTTTTATGGTGTCATGGATATCTGAGGGCCCTTGCAATAGTTTCCCCAAAAGTCTGTACATCTTCCGGGCCGTGTAGCTCAGAAACTAGAAGGAATTAGGCCTTACGAACAGCAGTACTGTGAGCTGCACCGAATGCTCTATAACATGGCCATCTCAGTTTAAACCTCATACAAATATGGAACATTTTAAATGTCGCGCGGCGCGCCTTTACGCGCAGCACTTCGGAGCGCTAGCCACTACAGTGATTATGTAAGCACCTACAAGTCGAAATGCCAGTCGGGAACCAACCTATGCAGCTGTGGAAGCCGACCACGCTTTCGGCTGAGCTCTCTGGCTCTTTCCCTCCCTCCCCCCACCCACTGTCACACCTACCCTACCCTCTTACCCCGACCCACGCTCCTGGTGTTGGCAAATACTGGTGGATGAAGAAAAACAAACATCACTAAATTTTAAAAGGCATCGTGCGAAAAAAACGGGCCATGGTATACCTTGGTACATAATGCTAAAAATCAGCATTGTACATCAATCGCCGCTTTTAAGGCAGAACATATGGTAAATAATCGTATAACAGGTACATATATAACCTTACCTTGGCAATCAAATAATTACGATAGCGAACATCCGAGCGCCGCAACCACACAGCAAACGCGACCGGGCGTCATTGCTACGCGTGGTCCCAACATAACTGCGCATCAAGAACCATAAAGATGCACGGGGCAAAGGTAACAAGAATGCAATGAAATATGCTTCTTGCGGATCCAAGCAGTCTTCCGTACTGTTCATAGATTGGTCGACGTGAGGGGGGCAAATATGACGTCTGGAACGAAAAGCAAAGTGAGAACTGGCGGCTAAACAACACTTCTAAATACGTCACATATATATGGCATGGAACATGGGCGCCAATGGAACACTGGGTTGAAGGGGATAGGGTCGGGAGGCTAGGTTAGGCTAGGTTAGTTTAGGTTAGGTTAGGTTAGGTTAGGTTAGGTCACGTTAGGTTAGGTTACGTTACGTTAGGTTGCGTTACGTTACGTTAGGTTAGATTAGGTGACGTTACATTACGTTACGTTAAGTTAGGTTAGGCTAGGTTAAGTCAAGTTAAATTAAGTTAAGCTAAGTTAAGTTAGGTTAGGTTACGTTTGGATGGGCTAGGTTAGGTTGCGTTATGTTAGGTTAGGCTAGTTTAAGTTTGGTTCTGGTCTATTCTGGTCTGTCTGCCTCACAACCTTACCTACACGCGACAAGAAACGTATTTTATTGCATTAATATTGCTACGTTGGCCCCGTACCTTTGTATGGTTCTTGATTCGCAGTAATGTTGAGATCACGTGCCGATAACGTAGCAGTGGCGCTGGGAGGTCAAAGCTCTGTGTTTGAGGCGCTCGAAAGCTCGCTATCGTGCTGATTAAAATTCGAAGGCAGGAGCATAAATCTACCTGTTTTATGATTGTTTGTGATATGTTCCGCCTTAAACACGACGAACGATGTACAATGCTCTTTTTTAACATTAGGTACCAATGTATACCTGCACAAAACACGAATAACGAAAAGCACGAGCAACCAAACTTTAAAAACTGATAAGATGTTAAGCCAGACGGTCAGAATGCCAGGAGCTGAAAATGCTTCGAAGTACCGAGGACCGCACGCAGCGGAGCTAAATCCGACCTCAAAGCATGACAAAATGGGTCGCAACTCTACTTTGGTCTGACTTTCTTCTCAACGTGGTGGGGGTAACTAAATACGAGACTGCACCCCTACCCATCCTGTAAAAACACCTGGAGACCCAGCCCGGGTCCTGTCCCACCACCCTCCACACTCACCCCACGACTCGGCGGCTGCTCCAACACTGCTGCCACCGCTCCGCAGTTCGCCGCTTTTCTCCGGCGACAGAGGGCGGGCAAGGCCGGAGCGGGACTGGGCGGTCACGTGACTGGGAGGTGAGGCGAATGTTCCTCTCGGTATGTGACGCGCCGCGGTAACCTTGGGTTGTCCCGGCGCTGTCCCTGCGCTGGTGGCCTGCAGCAATGGCGGGAACGTTCTGGGTGCCAATTTATTCCGGCACTTAAGCAAATTCCACTACAGGCAACAATGTGCTGCAAAGCTGCCATGGTTGAGAAATATTTACCCGCGGTCCCAGAACCTACTGCTGTGAACACAGGGTTGGTACCAAGGACGCAGCCAGGGCCTTGGCAGGGAGGGGCACAGGGTTAACAATGGGGCCCCCCTAATATTAAAATGCCCCCGGCAAATCCGTTAATGCGGGAATGCTTTCGTAGGTTTCATATATGCATAAATACGTGACACCTTTCCACCTTCCATAACTGAAAAATAAGCCAGACGTTACCGCGAAATCAATTCTTCCTTACGTGTATACAAAAATTAATTGAAAAACCATGCCTTTAATGATTCCATGAAATAAATCACCGGCGCTCCTCATTGTACAATGGTCCAGCGAACTCTTTTGAACCCATAGAGCTCAGTAGAATTTTTAACAGAAACATTTGGGCAGAATCCATCAGTTACACAAATTACATAGCGTAGTTTTGAGCATGCTGTGTTGATATCTTAGCAACAAAAACCTCAACGCCAAGCGTTGCGGTCTCCTTAGACCGTGCACCGTCGCCCCAGCGATTAATATTAGGCCGGGACCAGGGGCGAAAAAGGCTGATTTACCGGATATGATCGGTGACAAAAACTAACACTTTGACAAACCAATTGATGACAAAATTGTGGAAATGCAGACTAATTTCAATAGACCAGACCATCCTACAACTTCCTATCCCAGCCAAACGAAACTCAGCTTTGTATCGGTCTGTGCTCGTTAACGTTTGCAGCCTGAGTTGACGTTTCGCAGTATGAGGAAATTGAGCCGTGAGATTCTGTTTAACATAGCAGCTTCAATGAGGATAGTTTTTGGCGGGCGCCAGAAATATACTGCAAACTGTATTGTATCATTGTTGACGTCACAGATCAGCGGTGACACAGTGTTTTCCAATGCCCCTCAGATCAGTGCTTTTTACAGATTTTTCAGCCAAAATTTACTTCACCCACTAAAGAGCATAAAATACCGAATAACTAAGCGTATTACTAGTCGCAAGGATCGTGGCTGGCCGCAGCATCTGGCGACGAACGTGATCAGTTGGATACGCAGCGTTTTAAGCGTCGTGCCATATGAGACAGATGGACTCGAACGCGCACCGTGCGGTGATGAGTTGGGTTCCGTGCAAGGCTGTGGGCAGCTGGTGGTTGTGTTCATGTCGTGAGAAGCTGCCTGGCTAGAAAAACGTAGCTAACCGTCAGCGTTTTAATGTAATAGCATTAAAAAGCCCTGCCGATTTACGAGGATTGTTGTATATGGATACCTGAACTTTAGCTCCAGAGATATACGGAGGACGTTGGAGTGACACATGTCAAAGATTCATCCGGAGTTTTCTGCTCCTGTGAGTAGTATCGGCTTTGAGGTAAGAGATTGAGCATCACTGTTGTAGGTCTTCCGTATTACCCGTTGAACCTCTGGCTTAGCGTACTGATCGGCGAAGAGGTCAGAGATAAAGCGCTTTTTATTATCATATTGCATAGGAAAATGAATAAAGGTGACAGAGGTGTTAAAAAATGTCGTTTGAATCTGTTGACACCAGTATTGCATGGCTTTTGCTATAACTGATTTGGATCATGTTAGGAAGTGTGAGTTCTGCACCGGTAATGATTATGCGAAGATAGTGTAGCCGTCGGTGACAGAAAAGGCATTTTTTCCAGCCCTGGCCGTGGCCAACAGGTGAACGAAATGATGGCGTATTTGAAACAAGTACCTTTGAACGCTTTTGGACCCCAGAGATGTTACGGGCGTATAATTCACCTGAGTGGTTACAGATTGATGACAGTATCGTAGTGGTCTTTACAGCACCGCGAAGCGGTTTTGGAACCTGACTGTGGAACTGGGTGAGTAAAAGTAAATTCTCTACTTTCCGTGTTGTAACTGTCAATCTGTCCAGAGGACAACCCGAAAGTTTTGATGAAGACTCGCCGTGTGTTATCTTGACCTGTACAAATACATTTTGAAAGACATTCAGAAACATTGTTTTACGATAGTCATTACCGCGCCGCGCCTGGCGTTACTTTCAGTGGCCGATGCCGTTCTGTTCTACGAAAACTGCAACCCATGCCGTCGCTTTCTTTGCTCCCCGAGATTACCGGAGTCGTTGGGGCTTTATGACGCACTCATATGCTGGGACTATATGGCGTCACCAGCCACTCACTCTGGCTGGAAGGATGGGTACAGTGGGAATCGAAACATTGTACCTGTGGTTTATCACACCCTCAGTGGTTAACACAGGCGCGTTAACCATTACACTATCGGCACTATCGGCACAAACGACACTAGCGCCCAGGCTCAAACCATTTGATGTTATTTTTTTTACTAGTCGATTTTGTAACAAATAGACTTTCCAGGGGAAACATGGCATGACCCTGTGCATTTTGAACTGATTCCGACACACTCCATTCAATACAGTGACTACTTAACCTAACCTGCAGGGACTACTTAATGTGGCCTAATGTGACCTACCCTTTTGGAGGCTTCAGCCGTTCAATCGAGCCCGTGATCTTTGGTCTCGAAAAACCCTTCGGCCGCTCTTCGGGCCCCCTCAAATACTGCTCCGACTCGGGGTCACTTGCCACCACAGGGCCCCTGTTAAACAATGTGGCCCCTAACCGACATATGAGCCCCTCGTCGTGTCAGGGAACCCTAGCATTGCGAATCGCTGACCCCGGCTTTATAGGTGATAGGGAAGTGGGCCCTCAGGCCCATCTCGACACGAGGCCGGCTGTGTGGTACTGGTGATACCTGACCAACATATGGGCCCATATCGACTCAGGGGTACCCGATCGGTACAAAAAGCCCTCTGACCGTTATTTGCGGGTTCGTCTTCGCGGACCAGAGCCCCTGAAAAAGGTTCCTACCAGACCTTTCCACCCTTAGACCCTCCAAACGCGCCCTGGATCGTCGGACTCGACAGGCCTTCTAGGCTCTTCGGGGCTGCTTTGGCCTCACCTCAGAAGATGGAACGGGTGGCAGTTAGCGCCAGATGCGCCCTCCCCCTAGATAAGCCGCCACTGCCTGCGCTACTGGACCGGGATTAAGTAACAGCCGTCACAAATCAAGACCAGTGGAAACCAAACCAAAAAGCCACACGTCATCGGACTTAAGGAATGACTGAACAAAATTTGCTCAGCGTGTGCAGCGTCATTGCGACCTTCGGACTAATTAATGCGAGTTTGAAATACGACACCTCGCGGAACGTGCGTACGCAGCGGCATTTATCGATGTGCACGAGCGTTCTGATGCGTAAATTAGGTATTCGGCGCGCATGTAAGACAGCGTTTTTAATCTGGTCGCTTGACGGCAGACTTTTACCAGGAGTGGAATCTTCATATGTGCCGGAATAAACATGCGCTCTGGGCTGCTAGTGGATACTGGGGATCGCGGTGCCTATGTTTTGAAGCGCTCGGAATAAGCAGATGGTTTATAAACATTTGACATATGCAGATACGAACAGGGCGGACTCATTCCTAGCAGCGTGCTCGGCGGCATTTTTGCGTCTTAGCTGGAGCGCTGTTCAAACCGCTTACGGGGAGCATCTCCGCCACCAATGAAAAGCAGGACAACTGGACAACTGGACAGCACTTTGGTTTTGTTTTTTTCTCACATGTAATGATCATTGTGGTGCACTGCGAGAAGTGGCTGTTATCTGTTATTGTTTGTGCCTGTAAATAAAGAAATATCCTTAAATGACGGGGAAAAACTTCGGATCACTGTGATAAAGAAGGAACTGCGAAGGAATGTACAATCATGTTTCAGGTTTTGCAGTCTCCAACAATACCGCGCCGTGTTTGTTAGGGCCTAACATTGCTGTAATTACGTTGCCAACATCAAATTACTGCAGCAATGGCAAGGGTAGCATTGAACCATCTGGACAGTTAAAAGCTCAGAACCGAAATGGGTTACAATGGTTTTGTTGCACCTAAACCTGCTTGATCTACATTTAGCACTAAAGCTAGGCGAAGCTGAACTCAGGATAAAAGTCAGGTCAGGTGAGTAGTGAAGTAATGATAAAAACTACTTGTTGACGAATCTTAGCTTTTTGATGACGGGAAAACTCTATGCATGAACGGTTAAGCTATATTTCAAACTAGAACGCGTTCAAAGGACTCCGATTTTATTGCTGATTTTGTTCCTGATACCCACGCTTTCATTACTCATATGTCTGCCGCTTACGGATGTCTCGTTTCATGCATTGAGTCAATGCCCTCAGCAATCACATCTTAAACGGAGTGTCTCACATTTGTATGGGGTTCGAACTAAAACATTCATTTTGAAGATCATTCAGTGTCCCCTTTAAGGCTTAAAGGGAGCGCCATTCCTTTGGGGCATATTTCAAAAACGTATTCTCGTGAAACGTCAGGACCAGATATGTCTTCGAATAGCCCTGAGTAGTGCCACTGCAACACCGTCAAGGCGTGATACGCATATCAATTTCATTATTTTGGAATCCAAGTTACGCTGTCAGCGGCCTGTACAGCACTACACTTCTTTCCTAGAGTCACGACCGTTGTCACCATGACAACCGCTGTGGTAAACGTCATAGTGGAGAAATCAAAACTATTACATAATATCTCGTTGAAGTCGCGGGATAACAGCTTGATGTTCGGATATATTTATTTTTGAACCGAATGTTTGAGAGTTTTGCAGCATTTATCGCATGAACATTTTGACAAATTAGTGCGACGCAAACAGTACGGAGCACACACATGGCGAAAGCAATGCAAATGAAATGCATGACTTTCATAGAGGTCAGCAGGATGTCCAGTAACGTTTCTCTCGCAGCAGCGGCTACTTTAAATCAAATTTCTGAACTATACAGAAATATTGCGAGAAAAGTAGTATTGCTTATGAAATCGCACCCATCTCATCGAACATCAAATGAAAGGTACCAAAAAGGCATGCTTCCTTCAAAATCCCTTGTTTTTTTAACTTAACGCCCGCAAACTTGTGCAGAATATTTCGCACACCATAATTTTAGACCACCAGGGCAAGCAAAGCGCCATATATACATCGTTCGAACACCGCAAACCTCGTTGGCCATGCAGCGCTCCATGCCAAGCAAAATATTATATTCAAGTTAGTTAAGTTTGGTGCATGCTAGCACGATTTCTGGCATTAATGGATCTCCGTTGGTCCTCAACCAATATTATGTGCTCACCGCAACTGTCGAACACAAATCACGTTTCGCGCCATAGCATAGAGGGATTTGGGCAGTGATACGAGTTATGACAGAAGCAAGACTGGAAGTTCAATAACTTTACAAAAGCGTCACAGCCTAGGACGTGCATGCAAGTAAACAATGTAAGAACATGCAAAAATGCTACACCTATTTTAAGCACAAAAACACGCGCGCTTAAAAATATTTGGGTTCTACGAGTAACGCACCTTTAAGCACGACACGTCACCGACAAGTAGAAGTGTTACAAGTAGGTCAGCCCTTCGGCTTTGGTGGCAGCTCGGCACGGCCAGTTTGGCAGCCGCTCCGACGTTATACAAACGTTCCATCACACAATCACACGATGACGCATTCCCGAGCATATTTAAAAAAGTGGATTTTTTTGTCCAGAGCAATCTTCTGCGGTTTAAAGAATACCAATAGTTTCAAGCGACTTTATTTTATCATCGGAGATGCTTGCCTCAATATATTCAAATGGTGAGCATTTCCTTCAAAACCAGAACCTGAAAACTTTAAAAAAGTGTTTTGAGGCTCTTTTATGAGGGAAAATTTAGCTGTGTAGAACAACCGTGCTGAAAAATGAAACGGGTGGGTGCGTTAATGAATAACGAGTACCGGGTGGGTGTGATTACAGCTTCATGGGATGGGGGGGGGGGGTCCAGAGGACAAAGGAAATCTCGTCCTTAAAAGCTTTTCACTGGTGATAGAGTGTGACCAAGTGTCGCGTAGTTCGCATCGACTAGCGCGAAGCCATTCGCGTGTAGTCACAGAATAATACAAAGCAAAGACAGAGTCAGGGCTTCAAATTTCTGTCGCTAGTTGGGTAGACGGGCGTCGGTACCACTAGTCTCCGTCACCTGATCCAGCATCAATTTTCTTGGTAAATCGCACCAAATTGGCAAATATTCGAATTGATAAAAAACAGACTTGTTGTGCAAGGTGTAATGGTGAACATGACCCAAGGCTTACCCTCTGACTAGGTGTAACGGCATCCGAGTAAATGAGGGTTTGACACACCCTGTGCTGGATTAAGCCAGTCCTGCACCACTGCACAACGTCTCAAGCGTCTCCATCTCGAGTGTGTTTACCAGATTGTTGCTCTGGGTGGCGGGGGCATGACGCTATGCCCTGGAGATCGCAGGATGTGTTTGGATGTGTTTACCAAACCGTAAACACTGTGTTTCCCAGCCGCTGGCGAGAAATTTTATTAGCTATCATCTTGGAAGCCGTTGACAATATTTGCCACGTCCGCCAATTGTTTGCAGAGTCCGCTCCTGCACACCTCCAATTGGTTTTGCTAAGGGAGAGGTGTGTCGAGCATGAGAAAAGCTGCATAGTGTTCAGGGGTGGTCGGACATAGATGGTGTGAACCATTTAATATGGAAATGTTCTTTTCATTATATGAGACATGATATGCAAAGGCCTGGACCATTCCACACAACTTAATGCACATGTGGCTGACATGGCTGTTGCGGGATGTTTTTGTTATATATTATAATATATTATATTATATTATTATTATTTACATGATATTTTGATATATTTGCCTGAGTTTAATTCCCCTTTCGGTTTGCGTCTGGTCCCACTCATAAAACTGTGACCAGTGAAGTCGTGTGATTTGTTCTTCATTATCATGCTTGATCTCGTCAAGTATGACATTGCTGCTCCTGAATTGTGAACCGTCGAGCAATGCTGGGGCCTAATCGAATCAATGAAGTAGTCCTAGTTTGCGTTTCACTTAGACAGCAAGCGTAAGTAAGACGTTGGGACTTTTTCAGAGAGATCGGAACTCGTCGCTGACAAAATCGCTGAATAAATCGTTAACTTCACGGCCATCTCGGTGTCAATGTGCCAAGGTTCTATATCGGCGCTGATGCATGGATGATGCGCTAGTAGATGCGGTGATGTACGCAATGCGTTTCGCCCGAGATGGCATCGGCGGTCTTGATTATGACGTCAGTGGGGAGCATCATTTCTGTCTATCCGGTGTCTGGTAAGTTCACTCAGTGTGCGCCATTTGTTTGTAATTCCATGTAAAGCGTGTAAGTGATGGCATGAAGGGGAGGGTGCATTGTATTGCAATTGCTACCACTGGTGTGTGGAGCTGTAGCCATCAGGACATCATGCAGATGTGCCGTTGTGCTCACCAGACTACTTGGTTGGATTATTAGTAATTAATGTACATGTACATCGCATTCAGAGTGCTATCCTTGGATGAGCAACGCCAGGACTGAACTGAAATGCCACAAACCGGAAGATAATTACTCCAAAGAGCCCAGCGAACGTCCAGCATTTGCTGCACTGTGCTTTAGGTGACGGCGCGCTGTCAAGCGACGAATGTGCAGCACCGTACTTCTTGCTGCTAACCTCGGCCTGCTGGAACGGCATCTCCATGGCCTGCATCGACGTGGTGAAGAAGCACGTCACCAGGAAGACTCACGGCGACGTGGGCATGCGTGTGTGCGACTTCTCGACCATCCAGGTCAGTGTCGGGGTGTGTCCAGGTCAGTGTTTGGGTGGGAAGAGCGCGCTGGGTTGTCCAGTCGTCTGATGTGGATTCAGTGTGTCTGATACTCCTGTCTGACCCTTACGCAATGTGGTACAGTGGAATCATGTGGGCTGAACCAAGTGTACAGTACGGTGACCATTTGCTGCATGCATGGAGCTGAAAGCAAGTGTGACTGTTTTTTATTTGATGACTAACTCAAATCGGTTTCCATCAGGAGCATTTTTTCCCGTGCTGTAACAGCTTGTGTGTTCTGCCTGTCATAGAACTGTGGTGTCCGAGGCTCCTCCACAGCACGCTGCTGAATTTGAAGTCATGTCTGTCTTTTATAGGACTTCTTCGGCGAATGCATATGCGACACGAGCGCGACGCGGCTGATGAATGCTTCGCTTGCCATGGCCTTAGACCAAGAAACTGACAACAACAACTGGGAAAAGCACAGCGACACCACGTACCTACCGAGGTCAGTGACGCCCGGAGAGCGTAGATAGCATAGGCTGGAGATCTGAAGGAAGGATTCACGTAAGCAAGGCTACCACTGCTGCCAAAAGCATGTTGCGTCAGCAGGATGTTTTTCCGATGCTGTTGTTGAAATGTTTCAAGGCTTTCGTGGTGAAAATTCAAGAAGAGTGCAAATGCATGAAATAATAAATGACATAAAACAGAGCACAAATGCATGAAACATGCATACAATTGCACAAGGCTGAAAGCTGAGAAATGTACCAAGGATCATGACTGTGATATGATGCGGATCTCCGGAGCGCAGATGGAGTGGCGCTCTTAGTTCTGAATATGCAGTATCAGTCCAGTTGTTGTGTGACCTAGACCATAACTTATATGCACGTCATTACTGTGTATTGCACGCAGGCGTCATCATTTTCCACACCATACTGGAGACCACTAAATACGAATGGCCTGTTCGCAGAGCCAAGTTCGGACCCTGGATGTTTCAATTAAAATTATCCGCGGTCAAGAACGTGAACCTAGTAACCGACAATATGCTGCCTGCGGCAGGAGGCTCTGGGTACAAGGTGAATTGGGGTGAGCTTCATAGTGCAATATGGTGATAAGATTTCTGTCACAAATATTAATCAAATGACACCTGGGACTGAACAACAAGGGTAGACAACTCACATTGGCGTGGACAATGCTATGATGACCTGGCGGGGCCGGCACTCCTCCATGCTCATTGCATTTGCCGTGGCCACGTGTAGAGTGCTCTCCTCATCGCCCCGTCCACTCTGGTGGCCGTGGCGACTTAGTTTCTCCGTTGGCCACCAGGTCTGCAGCGTCTGCTCAGAGACGGCATGGCCGGTTGGCTGATGGCAGTCAGCAACGAGGTGATCAGACAGCTCATCGGCAAATCCGCTCTTATTGGCATGGACGCCGTGGACTACTGGTAAGTGAGCCGCATTTTGTATGATGGAACTGCAGTAATCCCAGGTATAAAGGTTACAGGCATTATCACTTTTTATTGCGATTAGCAACGCGTCTAATAGCAGCGCTCCATATTCCACGGCACCATTGGCAGCTTCACCGGAAGCATAGTCATGATGCTAAGCTATAGACAACGGGAACGATTTCCTCTGCGCTGGCAGGGAGAAGAATGTCAACACGCGCGTAGTGCACCACGAGCTGAAGAAGATGACTCTCGAACAGCAGATGCTGGTCGAGAACCTGATAGAAGACGTGCAGAACGGCCGCCTCTCGGGTGGAAAGATCGCCAGCATACAAGATGAGGGCTTTGAGAACCCCTTCAGCACTGGCCCGCCGCATTACGTCAGTAAGGTCTGTAGGTGACCCCCCCCCCCCCCCGAACAGCAAACCTGAAACACTGTACTGTACTGTAGTATATTCAGAAGATGCTTGCAGCATGAGATGTTGGTGAACTCCAATCCTCAAGTTACTTAAGACGTGCTTAACCTAAAACGCTTAGAAATATCCGGTATCAGGAAAGCAATCGCAACTCATGGACGCTTTACTATCCCAGTCCCCACTGAGGTACGTTGATAGCATGGCCTCTCCACGCACGCAGGATTTTCCTACCTCGAGATCCCGGCTGATAAATGTTCAGCCTTAAAGTTAAAGTTTAGGGCGTTTTGCACACTTGGCGTATTTCTAGTTAATGCTGTAATTCACGCATTGGACTGCGTTCTTTCCGGCACCTGTGACCCCATAACCATCCCATACTTGCAGCGCGTTGCACGTGATCATGACGCCCTTCCACATGGCATTGAATTTCGCTGCTCGTTAGGGTTTGTGTTTTAAGGATGGGGGTTTTCCGCTCTAGAAATTAAGAAAAATGGAATAAGCTAAGGATAAGCCTTGGAAAATGGAACAAGCTAAGAAAAAGCCTTGTATCCTGTCTTTCTATTGGAGAGCCTACGTAATTTCCAGACGCTGACTCTGAATGACTGCGGGTGCACGCCCGGCCTGAGCTCAGACAGCTACACTTCAGCAAGTTGCTGGGGACTTTTTCCGCTCAATTCTTAGCCCGACTATTGAAGAAAACATTTTTCAACCTGATTCAGCAAAAGTTGAGATGTCTTCAAAGTCAGCTCCATTTTCAACTCGAATTAAGTCCAACGCTGGTCAAGGATAAGTAATGAGATTGATGTCAGTTGCTCAGCTGATGTGTGATTTCATGTACCAACGTGCCTGTTTTGAGTTTGATGCAAACTCTTTTCCAAGCGTCGAAGATACCATGTATGATATATATCAAACCCTTTCGATCTTGGCTCCGCACGACAAGCCCAGTCTGTCTGAGGGCTCGAGCTCACGGCTCCTGGGAGAAGAGCATATGCCCAAGATATGTGTGCCCCGAGTGAGGATTTCAGAAGGATATTGTGGTGAATCGTTGTACATTTTATGAAATGTAACAACAACTTGCAGTGCACTGCGATGCGTCAGAACGATAAATTGAGACAGCAAACAAACTACGCATGAGCTGGCGGCGTGTTAGGCTTCTATTATCCAGGAGCAATCCCAAACTGTAAGCATAAGCAAATGCTGGTCCATATCCTAGGTGAGATAAACGCATCAGGTTAATGAAAGCTGAGTCAGGCGGCAGTGTTCTGGGAAACCAAAGCACACTGTCACACGTACTGTGTTACTTAACGAGCATGGAGGTTGAACTCCCAGTACACGTTACCGAGAATTTTCACCATGATCCTGTTGATACATATGTGAGGCTAACATTGCTAGCTCTACCCAAATACCGGTCCACCGTCTAACTTTCTACCGTGGACATGGGTGGGTCTTTGTCTTCCGGAGAGTCATGGTCCATCTAATTTTGTACTGGATTTCCTAACATGGAATTTCTAAAATTCGTGTGACTTCAGAGGACACACGCCTGACCTCAGATGGTACACGCGTGACCTCAGACGGCACACGCGTGACCTCAGACGGTACACGCGTGACCTCAGATGGTACACGCGTGACCTCAGACGGTACACGCGTGACCTCAGATGGTACACGCGTGACCTAAGACGGTACACGCGTGACCTCAGACGGCGCACGCGTGACCTCAGACGGTACACGCGTGACCTCAGATGGTACACGCGTAACCTCACACGGCGCACGCGTGACCTCAGACGGTACACGCGTGACCTCAGATGGTACACGCGTGACCTCAGACGGCGCACGCGTGACCTCAGATGGTACACGCGTGACCTCAGACGGCGCAGCTGGACGAGTGGCCGGACAGCTGGACGTTGCGGCCGAAGACCATGCGGACGTGCTCGGCGCCGAACTGGCCGTAGACGAAGATGTCGCGGGCAGGGTAGTGCAACTGTCGCAGCGAGCTCAGAGAGGAGATGATCATGGTCGGACCGCCACACAGCACCATCTGGCGAGACAGCAGAGACATGCTCTGAGACCGCACGGCGGCGCAGAGCCACACACTATCGCAAAAACGATTCAAAGCTGTCACGGCATATGCAGGGTTGGGTGGTTTTCCTCAGACGGTATTGTGACTTCCCAACTCACATTTCATATGGCCTATTCCACGCACGTACGCATGCACGCACTCACGCACTTACGCATAAGCACGTACCGCCTCCACACACAAACGCACACACGCACACTCACACGCACACGCACACGCACCTACAGACCACTGACACCTTCTAACGACCCAGCGCAAGTCGCACTGTTACCCTGCAACAGATTCCTTGGAGTTCGGCCACGGTGCTGTATTACCTTGCAGCGGCCTCCATTGGGTGTTGGCACCGTGCGTTGGATCATGTCGGTATCGATGAAGCCCTCCTCGCCGTCCCAGTCCTCCGGTGCCTCGCCCAGGCTGTATAGGATTTTCAGCCGCTGGTCGGTGCCTGGTGAAGAGAGAAAGGCAATAACAGTAAACAAAAAGAGTAATAAAAAAGGAAGACAGGTAAAGAGTAAGCAATAAGGTTAAAGACCTACCGACCTCAGAAATGGATATTCACTGGTAAGCTTGTTGGCTGAACACCGATGATCTTTCCAGTGATCACAGGTGGGGCGGACAACTGACCATTCTCTGACCCTGGGACGGCGGTAGGCGACTGACCCTGGTATTTGTCCAGCTCGTCCTTGAGCAGGACATCGTCGATGGTCTCGGAGTAGTACAGCAGGTGCACCTGGGTGCGGTCCTGCGGGTCCGCCATGATGGAGCGCACCAGCTGCAGACAGGGCGTGACCCCGGCGCCCGAGGCCATCAGGGTCAGGTGGTCCGTGGTGTTGGCGTGGTACTCGAAGCCGCCGCACGGACCCATCACCTCGATCGAATCTCCTGCGGGCAGATAAAAGGGTTTTCAGTCCTCGCCATAGGGCAGTGCAACATACAAACATGTTGGACTGATATGGTGGTATCTTGTCGGCAGAGCAGGGTGGAATCTGGCACCGACATGTGAAGCCCGAAGATGGCGGTTTGGATTAGCAGTAATCGGGATGAAAGGACGCGACAACAGCATATTTACTTGCGGCCATGTGAGACTCTGAAAAGAAGCATGTAAAATAATCAAAATAAGGACGCATTTGGCATGTGATACTACATAAAGTAATAGTGTAACTACAACATAGGACACATTTACAGCAGGTATGGTGTGCCTCTCGGGCCCTATAGGTCAGCAAGCGTACAAGTTGTACTGTATTCTTTGTATTCGATCAAAAGCCTTGGAAACATACGATATCCTGTCATACACCTGACACGCATAGACTATCTTAAATCTAATCAAACCCTTATAGAGCAGTAAAAGTACACCAGTCATTGCGACAATGAAGTCAAAGCGTTTTTAATCACTGAAACAACAATATTCAAGCTAGTCGATGTGAGGGTGATGGATTAGCTTTAAATCAAAGACAAATTTGTGGCCACGTAAATTCATAACTAACCAACATTTCTTTCCCGCACAACGGTCTGTGTTGGTCTGGATAGTAACCTCGTTTTATGCGGAAATGAACACACTACACAAAAAACATTGTTGGATCTGTAATTCGGCAGTCGTGTAAATTTGTGCACTATTACAAAGGGTGAGACGTTAGACAAAAGTGATTTTTCTGCTTCTTAAGGGAGGTGTCAACTTGCATTATGAACCATGGTAGAAAAAATTGCATTACTGAAAGTGCTGTCTTATGAGACACAAGTCTCCTGTAGGTATCGATCCAATATAGCCGAGCCTGTATGGCCCCGAAGATCTTTCCTTGAAACAAGAGCTAGTTGGGCAGCAACGCATTCATGCGTCCTCATTTCGTACATTTGTGGAACTTCATCAAAATATATGGCCTACGTATCGTGTCATAGCCCCAAAGGCTTTTTATGTCATATAATATACATATGAAATGACTAAATTAAAAAATACATGAAATATATAGCATATAAAAATGCATCGTGTGATTGATAGGAAACATGGCATGAAATGTAATATCAAATATACAAATTTTTCATATAATATCAACTAGCAAGCAAAAATATGTCAACAATAAATGTCGTTTATAACTTACAAAACATATGTTTACAAGCCTCGCGTACGGACACGTCAAAACAAACAAGATGTTCCTACATCCATCGATTTTTAAAATTTTATCTCGCTCATATCTATGATAATATCTATAATATATCTATGCTACGCTAGATATGTGATAAATTATATATCATATCTATGATATGATCGTGTCATTATAATGAGTGATATCCCCACAAAGTGGTATCAGTTTTCCTGTCATCTACTGTGACATATCTAGCCAGCAGTATTTCTATGTTTCCAAACTCCCAACGACGTATCTAGTTGTGCAGCCGGTGTTGCTATTACGGCTGCACAGGTTGTGACTCACCCGGCTTGAGCTGCTGGAAATGGTGCGACAGAATGCCAGCCGTCTCGAACTTGAGGATCAGCTGCAGCCGGTCGGGCTCGTCTGGTCGAGACACGGGTGAGAAGTAGCGCTCCTGCACCGGGTGACCGGCGGGTTGGATCCGCACCTGGACACACAGCAGTGGTGAGGTAGACAGTGTCCACATGTGTCTACACATCGTGTATCTCCATCCTCGACATCCCCAGGCTTTGTATTTCTCCACGTCATCTGACAATCATTGCTAGCAGAAGGCGTCCCGCGTAATCAGATGGTCTGAAAGAAAACTACAAGTTTCTCGAAGGCAGATTCCACTGAACGCTTCATTCCGAGAGACGTGCCTTGACATACTGCCCCGGCAGGCAGCCGCTGTGCTTGTCCTTGCTGGGGTACGCGAAGCCAAACTGCTCCATGTTGTCGCCGATTGGCGAACGCTTCTCGAGCGTCATCTTGGTGTAGCTGTCCGGGCTCAGGCCGGGCGTGCACTCGTGGCCATTCAGCATCAGCGTCTGGAAATTACGTAGGTTTTCCAGTGGAAAGACAGGATACAAGGCATATTCTTAGCTTATTCCATTTTCCAAGGCTTATCCTCACCTTATTCCATTTTCCTGAATTTCTAGAGCGGAAAACCCCCATCCTTAAAACACAAACCCTAACGAGCAGCGAAATTCAATGCCACGTGGAAGGGCGTCATGATCACGTGCAAAACGCTGCAAGTATGGGATGGTTATAGGGTCACAGGTACTGGGAAGAACGAAGTCCAATGCATGAATTGCAGCATACACTAGAAATACGCAGTGCGCAAAACGCCCTAAATCTTAACTTTACGCTGAACATTTATCAGCCGGGATCTCGAGGAAGGAAAATCATGCGTGCGTAGAGAGGTCATGCTACCAACATACCTCAGTGGGGACTGGTATAGTAAAGCGTTCATGAGTTGCGATGGCTTACCTGATACCGGATATTTCTAAGCGTTTTAGGTTAAGCACGTTTAAAGTAACTTTTGAGGATTGGAGTTCACCAACTTTTCATGCTGCAAGCATCTTCTCCTGAATATACCACAGTACCAGTGTTTCAGCCTTTGCGTTCGCGAGGGTCGCCTACAGACCTTGTTGACGTAATGCGGCGGGCCAGTGCTGAAGGGGTTCTCAAAGTCCTCATCTTGGATGCTTGCGATCTTTTCAGGCCGAGAGGTGGCCGTTCTGCACGTCTTCCATCAGCTCCTTGGCCAACGTCTCCTTCTGTTCGAGAGTCATCTTCTTCAGCTCATGGTGCACTACGCGCGTGTTGACATTCTTCTCCCTGCCAGCGCAGAGGAAATCGTTCCCGTCATCTGTAGCTTAGCACCATGACTATGCTTGCGATGAAGCTGCCAATGGTGCCGTGGGATATGGAGCGCTGCTATTAGATGCGTTGTTAATGGCAGTAAAAGGTGATAGTGCATGTAACCTTTATACCTGGGATTACTGCAGTTCCATCATAAAAAATGCGGCTTATTTACCAGTAGTCCACGGCGTCCATACCAAGAAGAACGGATTTGCCGACAATCTGTCTGATCACCTCGTTGCTGGCTCCCATCACCCACCCGGCCTTGCCGTCTCTCAGCAGACGCTCCAGACCTGGTGGCCAACGGAGGAACTGAGACGCCACGGCCACCAGAGTGGACTGGGTGATAAGGAGGGCGCTCTACACGTGGCCACGGCAAGTGGAATGAGCATAGAAGAGTGCCGGCCCCGCCATCATAGCATTGTCAACGCCAATGTGAGTTGTGTGCCCTTGGCGTTCAGCCCGAGGTGTCATTTGATTAATATTTGTAGGCAAGCGAACCCGCATCTTCGGGAGAGCTTTCAAGGACGGTTCGACGGTCTTGTCTTCAGTTGTAATCACTCAAATAGTTTTTTAGTCACACAGGTGAGATGAAAAGTTCAAATTCATACGACTTCACAAGCTATCTCCATCATTTACCAGCGCTTGTGACACATGTCCATCCTCAAACCGAACAACATATAAGCAGAGCTAGCAGCACCTAGTTCCGCAGAACTGAGTGGATCAGGTGGCTAATCGCGTGTGACCCTTGACGTTGAGGTTAGTATAGGGTCACCACAAGTGAGACCTGGCTCGGTGCGCTGTGGGGTAAGCCACCGATCCCTTGACACACTTGTCAGCGACACAATATGCAGGTGTTGAAACATGTGGTTACGTGTTCTGGGTGGAAAGCTTCCTGTTTATTCTAGTATGTGTACATTCATATTATTTCAAACGTCATACGTTTGGACAGAAATCCTATCACCATTTTGCATTATGAAGCTCACCCAAGTCCACCTTGTACCCAGAGCCTCCTGCCGCATGCAGCATCTTGTCGGTTACCAGGCTCACGTTCTTGGCCGCGGAGAATTTTAATTGAAACATCCAGGGATCTAACTTGGTTCTGCGAACAGGTCATTCATATTTAGTGGTCTCCAGCGTGGTGTGGAAAGTGGTGATGCCTGCGTGCAACACACAGTAATGAGGTGCATTTAAGTTATGGTCTCGGTGACATAAAAGCTGGACGGATACTGCATGTTGAGAAATAAGAGCGCCACTCAATATGCGCTCCAGAGATCCGAATCATATCACAGTCATGCTCCTTCGTGTATTTCTCAGCTTGCAACCTTGTGGAATTGTGTGCATGTTTCATGCATTTGTGCTCTGTTTTATGTTATTTATTATTTCATGTATTTGTACTCCTCTTGGATTTTCACCACTTGAGCCTTGAAGCACTTCAACAGCATCGGAAAAACATCCTGCTGACGTAACATGCTCTTGCTAGCAGCGCTAGCCTTACTGGCTCCTTCCTTACCCACGTGACCCCTTCCTTCAGATCTCCAACCCATACCATCTAAGTTCTCCGGGCCTCACTCACCTCGGTAGGTACGTGATGTCGCTGTGCTTTTCCCAGTTGTTGTTGTCAGTCACTTGGTCTAAGGCCATGGCAAGCGACACATTCATCAGCCGCGTCGCGCTCGTGTCGCATATGCATTCGCCGAAGTAATCCTATGAAAGACAGACATGACTTCAAATTCAGCAGTGTGCTGTGGAGGAGCCTCGGACACCACAGTTCCAAAACAGGCAGAACACACAAGCTGTTACAGGCACGGGGAAAAATGCTCCTGATGGAAACCGATTTGAGTTAGTCATCAAATAACGAACAGTCACACTTGCTTTCAGCTCCATGCATGCAGCAAATGGTCACCGTACTGTACACTTGGTTCAGCCCACATGATTCCACTGTACCACATTGCGTAAGGATCAGACAGGAGTATCAGACACACTGAGTCCACATCAGACGACTGGACAACCCAGCGCGCTCTTCCCACCCAAACACTGACCTGGACACACCCCGACACTGACCTGGATGGTCGGGTAGTCGCACACGCGCATGCCCACGTCGCCGTGAGTCTTCCTGGTGACGTGCTTCTTCACCACGTCGATGCAGGCCATGGAGATGCCGTTCCAGCAGGCCGAGGTTAGCAGCAAGAAGTACGCTACTATACATTCGTCGTTTGCCCGCGCGCCGTCACCTAAAGCACAGTGCAGCAAATGCTGGACGTTCGCTGAGCTCTTTGGAGTACTTAACTTCCGGTTTGTGGCATTTCAGTTCAGTCCAGGCGTTGCTCCTCCAAGGATAGCACTCTGATTGCGCTGTAGGTGTAGATAAATTACTAATAAGCCAACCAAGTAGTCTGGTGAACGCAAAGGTATATCTTCATGATGTCCTAATGGCTACAGCTCTACACATCAGTCCAAGGTGGATCCTGGGGGGAGGGGGGAGGGCCACGGGGCCATGGCCCCCCAACAAACTCTGATAGTATGTTTTGGCTCCCCTCCCCAAAACATTCCCAGAACTTCATAAAAGTTTCGTCTACGTACCCTTTGTTTTAACTTTGATGGTGCGGTATCAAACATTTCTTTCCGTTGCGGAAAACTGCATGAAGAAAAGTTGGCAGCGATTTGAATGTCAAAACAAAACACATGTTCAACATGTGTTTTGCAAAACAGTCCTACGTATAATACCAAACTCCATAGATTGGTCTCATCTCCGACAGCAGCAGTAGTCGCTTACGTTACGAGCGCTAGTTCTTTCTGTGGTGAATATTTGGGTTCTTGTGAGTTAAAAATCGGCCGGTAATTTCTGGATGACATGGAGTTCCCCGCTATTTGAGACCGTGTTTAGCCTTAAACCGTGACCTTGAGATGTCAGGACTTTTTGACTGACGCTAGTTCATTCTGTTGTTAATATTCTGATGTTCGTAGGTTAAAAATGGGCCGGTAATTTTGAGTAATATGGAGTTCGCCGTTCTTTGAACCCGTGTTTGACCTTGAAGGGTGACCTTGAGAGGTCAGGATTTTTTTACGAACGCTGGTTCTTTTTAGGTTGAATATTATGATGCTGACAATTTAAAAATCGGCCGGTAACTTTCAGTAATATCGAGTTTCCCGTCCTTGGAGTCCGCGTTTGAATTTGAAGGGGGACTTTGAGAGGTCTGAATTTTTGGACGGACGCTAGTTTTTTTGTGGTGAATAATCTGATGTTTGCAAGTTAAAACTCGGCCGGTAATTTTTGGGTGATATGAAGTTTCCCGTGTTTGAGCCCCCGTCTGACCTTGAGGGGTGACCTTGACAGGCAAAAACTTTTTGATGGGCGATAGCTCTTGCGCTTGCGAGTATTTTGATGCTTATAGTTTTAAAATCTGCCGGTAGTTTTGGGTGATGTCGAGTTCCCCGTCCTTTGGCCCAGCTTTTGACCTTGAAGGTCATATGAAATTGCAAAATAAGGGTTATTTTTGGTGTTCTTATGCTACAATTCACCCTGAGACCCTTTTTCAGGGAAATGGGAACTCGTCGCTGAAAAAAAATCGCTGAATAAATCGCTAACTTCACGGACATGACACCTAGCCTAAGCGTCATCCCGCTGTAACGGCGCCGCACGTGACTTACCGATTGGTCCGACCATCCTGTCGTTAGGCAGGACTCCCTCGCAAATCAGCGGTCCCGACTGGTTTCCGTGCAAACCCAGGGAAAGCCACTCGTTGGCACTGGCTCGCACCTCGTCCTGCAACGGCCCCACGCCCATAGCTCATGTTGGTTATAATAGCTAACCTACAACGAGCAAGGCTGTGGAGCACTTCACACCAACACAGGCGCGACATACGGGTTCCATCTTAATTGAGGGATGTCTCCGTCCTTTGTGCGATTTGCTACTAAAGCGAACACTATGATGCTATGTGGCCTGTTCTCGAACAACAATCATAGATTTCAAGCGGTCCTACGCCATGCTATTGCGCATGCTTGAACATTACTGCTTTAAAATTTACATGAAATTCGTTTGCCTTGGGAAGAAGCGATTAGATTTCGCTTAGACTGTTTCTGGTCTGCTTTATAAGCAACATATTGAAACGTACTTTTAGAAACTTGAACCAAAGGAATAATGTATTTTCCATTACCTTCACCACTGAAGTCATGCCATCATAACATGCTTGTGCTCACTTTCATCATGAGGAAGTTGGAGAGATCGGCGAAATCACCGGGCTTGACGCCGGGGCTGATTGTCTGGACGAAGTACCAGTCTGCGAATCCGGCAGACGTGACCCACGAGCCGTATTTGAGCAGCTTTACATGGTCTTCGTCTAGCTGGCGACACTTGGACGACAGATGGAACCAGAAGTGGCCGCCTGCGGCGCAGGAGAGGGGTCAGAGGTCACAAAAGACGTCCTGCTGATGACGTTTAGACGACAGAGGAACAAGAATGGTCGCCTGGGGCCCGGAAGAAAGTCAGACGTCACAGAAGACGCCTAACTGATGACATTTACCTGATAACGCTTGGATTTCGTTGAGAACCAGAAAGAACCAACTGACACACAATATCATTAGCCGCATTTTTCTGTGTGACATGTACCAAAGGTCCTTAAGGTCTTCAAATGGCGTCTTAAAACAATGCAAGACCTTGAACTAAAAAAACATGATGCATTAGATGTCCAACGATCGTTATTTTCATGTTGCGTTGCCTGTACAGCATCATGTATGAGAACAGACGTCCAACTGAATACGGCCCTGCTTTCTTTTCTTTAAGTATCTCGGTTGGTACATCCAATCCGTGCTTCGCGCTCAACACCTTCATATTCTTACAGTACGCGTCGCGATGCTTTCTGCCACATGCCTGCTCCAATGTCTTACATTTCTCGACTGCCTCCTTCCTGTCTGGCTCGCGAATTACAGTCTCTGTCGCGCTTGGGTCGTGAAATCCAGTTTTCCTAGTATTGACTTGTGACGTCCGACCTCCTTGGTGTCTGGCTCCTGTCGTCCTGTCTCCTTGGTGTCTGGCTCGTGAAGTCTAGCCTCCTTGGTATCCGTCTAGCGAAGTCCAGTCTTCATGGTGACTAGTACGTAAAGCGCTGCTTCTTGGTCTTCCCTCTTGCCATTCAGTCTACCTTATGAATCCCAGTCTCCCTGGTGTCTGCTTCGGGCGGTCCTGTCTCCCTGATGTCTGGCTCGAGAAGTCCTGTCTCGCTGGAGTCCGCCTACGGACGTCCTGTCTCATCCTCGGCTCTGGATCATTTCCATCACTAACGACGTGCGAACATTTCTGATTAAAATGTTTTCTCAACGATGAGTTTGGATCTCTTATGCTGACATTAAACCAACTCCAACATACCAGGAGCTACTGGTGGAACGTTGTTATCAAACAAAGAGCTCAGTGATAGTATAAAAACCCTGTGTCTTAACAGGAATATTTAAGTTCTGAGTTTCGGCAACCTAACAAGATTCCTGATAACCAGCACGTTCTCTTCTAGCAGTACCTAATCAGTTCAACTATTACCTTCTAATGTATTGTAGCTGATTTCATTTGAGCGCAAAAACTGCAAAGAAACCTTTTGAAATGTTATAGTTCATTTTTCTTCAGCACAAAACCTGCAAAAAAGCCTGATATATTGTGTTGGCTTCTATTCAGCACACAAACTACAAACTCTGACGCAAACAAATAGAAGCTTAATGCTTTTCTTGCCTACGTCAAGCTGCTAAGCTGCTCGCTGCTGCAGATGCCTTGAGATCATCTTCAGCAGCTTTGATGCTCGCTGGAGCATTGGTAAAAAAGTGCAAATGTTTTAAATTGGCAATGTAGTGAAAGTCAAAAGTCAGAGAAAGTGAACGCATCACGTTTGCGTTGTTGACAGACGTCAGTGGCAGGCGTGTCTCGCTACCCGGCACCAAGCTGAACAAGAACCACGATGCCAACATGAGTGACGTCTGACATCTAATGAATTGAACAATGACCAGTTCAACGCCCATTTTGTTTGAGATGTGATGAAGACCTGCGAGACGCTCAAATCAAAATAGGGAATACCACTTCCGGTGACATTTCTTTTTTGGCAAAAAACCATTAGGTTGAAATCGAGGGGGGTATGGACCCCACGCCCCTTTTAGAGCTCAAAGTCATCTACAGATTACAGGACCACACAGATGGGAAAATAAGTGAATCTGTTCTTTAAAAAAATCGGCGATCAAATCTTAACGTACAGGGCTCATCATAGCCGATTATGCCAACATGATATGTGCCTTGATATGTGATGTGTGCTAGCTTAAAATCATATGCACGTATAAGTGATATCTGACGCGTAATGTGTGGGGCCGGTTCAACTGAAATCGCTCGCACGTATAACGGATGCGTGGTGTGTAATGCCTGTGGGCTTGAATTCGTTTGCATGTACATGCATTCTTGCAGGATGTAATTCTTAGATATGCGCTGTATCGTGGTAATGGCTGGCAATCGCTCCGTGTTTCATCCCTTGAATGTTGCTGTCCGCAAAACTGTCGCTTGCCGTTTAAAAAAAAAACGTGGAAAATCGAGTACGATCATTGGCAAGCAATTTTGAATGCACTTCTGCCATCGTTTCGAAAAAGGCATGCCAAAATGCAACCCGTTTATATATGCATTCTCTTAGTGTCGTCCTAGGAATAAGGCTATTACTATTGTCTTTTCTAGATAGCCAGTTTGTCTCAAACAACCATACGAAGGTCAAACCAAGTTTAATGCTGGCTATCATAAAGCCAGAACGATACAACTTTCCAAAGGCCAGATTAACAGAAATATTACCGTCAAGGGACGGTTTTTCCAGATTTTCCCCCTCCAAGTTTTATAAAGCTCGGAGCAAAAAAACTCTCATCCACGAAAATCCTCCGCTCTCGAGAACGATTACGATCGAGTTTTGTCAACAAAATGTGCGATGGTAAGCGCAATGATAAATGCACGGTTATTGTAAAAGATGAGCTTTTAACAAAATTCATCACGCCGTGACCTTTTTTTAAACAGGACCGACGCACTTTTATCAGAATGCGCCCTAATTAGGCTCCGGTGGCTCAAAAACCTTGCTTCGGGGTGCATGCATCGTCACTGTTTAGCTTGCATCGCTTTGCTCCCACCTGGTCGATGATGAAGTCAACATCAGCTACAACGGGTTATTCACAAGGACCTGCAGCCTACATCATGCTTCGAGATGCCTATGCGGTGCTTTGGTTCTACCCCATACGTGTAAGACGCGCAAGCGTAGACGTCAAGGAAATGAGCTGGAAACATTGTTCAGGATTCAGGAACATGCCATAGCTTACAGATGAGCCTCGATTTGCGCTAGCTGACAGATGGCGCAGATGTTCATAAATATCTGCGCTGTGCTGGATGTATCACAGCTTTACCCGCATGTCAACATCTTGCTGCCTCTAGCACGTTAAGGCTCAGGGGGAGGAGGCGTAGCAGTGGAACCTCTGTCTAGATGCTGGAAGGAGGGGGGAGTGGATGTCAAAAGTTGTCCTTATTTGTACAGCAGTTTTCCCTGCCCCGCCTCCTTCTCTCTCTCCCCCCCCCCCCCCCCCTCCCACCCTGCCGATTCATCGCTCATGCTTGGGTGCTAACCAGTGGTCTGAAATCATAAATGGGTGCCTCAAGCATTCCTATCATTTCTAGTGGCAAGAGATACGCAAACAATACAATGTCTCCACGGATAGGTACCTAAACAGGCCTCTCGAACTACTTATTTTAGATGCTTAGATTCGACCAAATGTCTTCAATTAATGTGCAACTTAGATGGCATTTGCTGTTTGCATGGCTGATTATGTTTTTCATGATATATTCATGGACCTTGCGTGCTTGCCCCTCTTTCTGTGCAGTTAGTGATTAAATAAATCACTAACTATAAAATGATAGAACCTCCATCCCGCCCACTCATATCCACATTCCTTGGCAACAGCGATAGTTTCAATAGTTTCTATGACAAAGTGCATTGTTGCTCCCCTCCCCCTCTCGCCCCCTGTCGTACCTGATAGTCTCTCTCATGCGTTGACTAAGTTGTGACGATACAGTGGCTAATGGCTGAATTCGTTCGGATTTGCCCCCATGTCCTGAAGTACTTTGTCCAAATATTTATAATGTGCTGCTCGCATTATAGTACAAAATAACATCATGCCAAGCGAAAGGGGGGTGGGGAAGGCAATCCCCCTATCAAAGCAGTTGTTGATGCACGTTGAACTCTTTTACACAGATGATTTCTAAACACTTCCAGCTGGACTTCTTCGGAATAAATCACTGGTGAATGAGTTGCCTCATCTCCCTTTCGAGGACAGGTGGGAAGCGCCCTGATACAAACTAACGCCGTTTCCCAGCAAAAAATACTTCACTGAATGTGCTAGGGTGAAAAATCCTCTTTAAGGAAACATTCATGCTTGAACTAGCCCGAAAAAATCATCGTTTTCACACCGCCGTAGAGTTGGTGCCATATGATTTAGTCCCATGATGACGCCACAGCGTCTTCTTCCCAGAACGTAGTAATGTGGGGGATTGATATAATGAGAACATCCTAAGGCTGTGACTGTTTCCCAATAATTAGACCGACAGCTTATTTTTTAATCGACAATTTAAGAATGTTGCCACAGGGTATAATTTAAGGGCGCAGCAGCCCCCTTTCCCCCCCCCCCGTAATCAGATATCTAGTAGTTAATGGCAAAGTAGCTCACTAAAAGCTCGGCGTTCTCACTGAGCTCCATCCCCCCTCATGAAACCTAGCTGTGTCCCTGTTTTTCATCACTCTTGACTAATGTTTGCTGTGGACTCCTCAGCGATATTGTGGGTCACGGATTTATTGAGACTGCACGTGGGACTGGAAGACCAGCACACTGGTTTTCCATGATATTTATGAGGCCTTAATCTAATGCTTTACTGGTGGGTTTCGGAGGTAGTAAATGTAATCAGGTGTAAGTCCCCATCAGTTATTTGTTTCCTACTTCATTTTCGAACCGAAGGTTTTTACATTTTAAGATTAATCCCGAGCCCCCTCTCTCTTCCGTTGAAGAACGCGCTTCTGTGTTCAGCCAACACCCATTCGGCATCTAAACTCATAAGGAGGTACAGTGCAGCGGCATGCAGATATTCTTGCAAGTATATACGTAACTCTGATGATTATATGGGTGAAATCAATGAATCCCATGATTGATATGCTGTCTCTCGTTGCAGATGAATGACAGCAGACGCCGCCTGATTTCGAGGTCCCGGTGTCGTACAGCCGCATCAGGTCCATCAGTTGGCAGCGACAAGATCATGCAAACTGACTGAAACTCAAAATGTTGTTGGCATCGCCAAGAGCAAAATACTGCGTTTTTTCTGTCGCCATGTTGACCTATGTTTTCAAAACGTAGCATTGCCAACACTATTTATTATGAAAAGCTTTGAAGGCCGATCTCTGGCATGTTCAGTAAAGGTAACCAGTATGCATGGTTACAAAATATCTCGACCTCCGTAAAGAATCTGCGCAGTGACAGAATTCCATTCCATACCGATTTTGTGGCTAGAGGCATCATTCATTGCCAACAAGCAGCAAAAAAGAAACAAAACGAAGCAGCTCATATTCCACGTCAAAATTTATGTGCTAACATTCCGGGATGACTTAACACCTCAACAACATGACATGACCCCGAGTCACTTGTTTGCGAACATGAGCAAAGGCTGAGACAAAATTATTTGAGTTATTTCCATTGTCCGCCCTTTCGTCCAAAATGCCGCTTAGAGTTTAGCCTCCGTGATCTATCCTAGCGAAGAGTAAACAAATTTACGTGAAACTTTTTGATGACTTAATGACACAGTTATATGAAGGTCTCTAAAGTCCATCTTTGTTGCAGACCAAGACGACGATCTATCTGCGTATGGCATTGGTGATTATCGGTTAGCAGTAAGCATTGATGATGAAAAGTATGTATGTATGGTACCTTCTTATCATCGGATGCATGATAAGATCACAGATCATATCATACACCCGCGTTAATGATAACAGGTTAGTATTAAACTTTCTTAAAAGGTAAAACATATGGCCCATCATCACCTACATACAGGTAACACGCCTATGAATACCTCCGAATGTTGGTGCCCTTTCTGGTACATCCCAACACCAAGCCTTGCGGACGTTCGCTGCGAAACAAACGTAGAAATCGTCCTCCGCTAAAACAACATATCCAGCCCATTCTATAAACACCGGCCTGACATGATACGCTGTTGTTAGGTATCACCTACCGGTAGCCGGGTCACTGTAGGACAACGTCCCCACCAGCCTGTCCTTGTCCAGGCGGCGCAGCACGTCCTGGATCGTCGGGTTGTTGTGGTAGCGGAAGAGCAGGGCCGCCACGGCACTCAGGTGCATAGCTGTGGGCCAAATAAGACGGGTCATCCATGTCAAGGTGTGCACCGATCACCGCCGCATCACTCAATCCATTCAGCGAATGCAAATGCGATGGTTGAACAATGAACATTTGCTACGGACTGTAGCTGGATAGATACGATGCTATCCCGTAATAAAATACGATGCGTTGGTGGCAGAAGAATAGGCATATCGTGGAAAAATTGGGACAACTAGCCGACCTATAACCAGCAGACTATTCTGAGCAAATAACACCAACCTCAATGCTTATCCTTGACCAGCCTTGTGCTTAATTGGAGTTGAAGATGGAGGTGACTTCAAAGGCACATTAACTTTTGCTGGATCAGATTAAAAAATGTTTTCTTCAAGGTGTTGCGAGTCGGCTTGGAATTAAGCCGAAAAAGTCATCAGTGTTCTAACTCACATGAAATTGTCAACCCAAGCAAATATAACAGCATTTATCATGTGATGTATCAACTAGAACAGACACCAAGACCAGTACAACAATAATACGACAGCTTTCTTGTTTATCACACGGAACACCATATATCATATCATATCACGTCATATCACACGTCATATCACATATCAAACGCCATATCACACGTCAGCCATAAACTAGCGTCTTCACATAATACATGTGTTATGCAGACATGCTTGTGTTGTTATGGGTTATGTGTTGTGCAAATCATGTGGCGTTCTCGTGGTTAGTTCTCATGAATTATAGTCAATTCAATCGATTCCATCAGAATTGATTGCGGAGTTAGGACACTATGCTTTATCCGGAATCGGAGTTAACCCAACGCCCCACTATACTGCACTGTTCGGGGCTCAAGTTAAATTCCACCTCATCGTTGTGTGTAAGAGTCGGAATCACTTTTGGCATACCGTATCTATCACTAAGACTTCTGCGCGACGCCGGATGTGCTAATGAGTCGGTTCACGCTTAGGTAATAGAACATTTCAAGCTGTAGACTACGGCGACGCACGTGACACCAAGAAAGTGCACTGAGTCAATGACAGCAGTACATTCACTGCGAGCCATATATTAGCAGGGAATGCGATATAATCCAAAAGCGAGGCTTCAGTCACAGACGGTGCTCATGGCGTGACATGGTGGTAGCGAACTGCGGTACCCCACTACGGAACGTAGGGTACTGCAGTAGTCAGCTAAGACTGCAGATAGTTTTAAAAACAATGTTTATTATTGCAGACCGCAGCATGACAGAGACAGGCGAAGCAGGTGGACTTCAAAACAAACGGCGTTTTATTCACGCTAAATCACGGCAGTGTCGGGGTTACCGTGGAGGCCCATTGCTTTGGCAAAGCAAACATGGCTCTACTCGCTGCAAACTACGGCGTTGGCAGTTGCCGCTCTCTGTGTAGACCACGGCGCCTCACTAAAGACCATGGAGGTGCTAGCGACGGTACCCCTGTAGACCAAGACAGTGCCAGTGCGGAGCACGAGGCTGTTGGTAGAATTAGATAGTAGAGCCCAAGACGGTGCTAGCGAAAGTACTCGCTGTAGATCATGGCGCTGCTACCGACATTACTCACTGTAGACCATGGCAATGTTACCGACATTACTCACTGGCCCATTACGTACCCACGGCGGTGCTACCGACATTACTCACTGTAGACCATGGCGGTGCTGGGGCAGCCGTAGCGGGCCAGAGTCTCGACCACCATGGCAGCGCCCACGTGATTCTCCCCGAGTCCGCCCAGCTCTTTCGGGACAATCACACCCAGCAGCCCCATGTCGGCCAGGGCGTTCAGGGACTCCCGTGGGAACTCGTAGGTCTTGTCGCAGTGGACCTGCGTCGCAGCAGTGTACCGTTATCACTGCTATTCAGTGTGATACACCGCTGTCCCACAGTCGCAGTACGGGCAGGTCATTGTCACTTGTGTATGTTTGGTCATAATGAATATGCTTCGTAGTAATTGCATAGTGGTGTTACGTTTTCTGGCGGCGGTTTTACGTCCTAACAGTGGGTCGTAAAGCATAGCGATAATTTTGCGAAGTGGGTACAATTTGCAACAGTGAATCGGCAAGGCTGACAGCTTGTTGACCATTCGACCGGTTGATCCGGCCAGGGCGAAAACCAAACACACCATTGTTTTATCTCGAGCTCCATCTTCCCTTTACAAATGACAAAATGAGCAAAGTGCGTTACGTCCAGACTGTGTTTATCTCCAGGGTCGTGGAGTTCCCGTCACACGTGCTTATAACGGGGAGAATAATTCGAACGCAAGCGCTCTGTGTGAGCACAATTAAATGCCTCTTTAAAGGCTATCGCTATGACATGCAAACAGTCCGCGCCAGGGGTGTAATGTTCCCATGTAAGCCCTGCGAAAAACAGGAAGTCCAGCCATCCCAAAAGGAGGCTCCGATTAGAAAGACGGGGGGCACCACTGGGCTAAGGGAGATTTCATTGCATGGAAGTCTATGTATAGAACTTTAGACGCCCTTGAAAAGTAGCGGAAATCCCTGGGGAGGGTTTGAAATAGTGAATGTGATAAGGCAATGAAAAGCGTACTCGTGTTAAACACGCATATGCATACCCATACGCACACGCGCACGCAAACGCACACATAAATGAGCGCTCACGCACACACGCACGTACACACGCATGCATGCACGCATGTACGTACGCGTCGACCGTTCAGTTCATCGTACAGTTAAAAGCGTACTTATGTTAAACGTACACACGCACACGCACACGCATACGCATACGCACACACAAACGAGCGCTCACGTACCTACGCACGCACGCACGAACGCACGCGCGTACGCACGAATGCGCGCACGTACGTACGCGCGCACGTACGCAAGCCAGCACGTACGCACACACACACACACACACACACACACACACACACACACACACACACACACACACACACACACACACACACACACACACACACACACACACACACACACACACACACACACACACACACACACACACACACACACACACACACACACACACACACACACACACACACACACACACACCTAATGACACGCTCATGCATGCAGCAGAAATCCGTATACTGCCGATGAAGTCGCTGGTCACGAAATGTAAGTTGTTCAGTGCATTAGCGAGGAACATTATTCACGTAGATAAGACAGTAGCATTAGCCTTATTCCTCGGAGAGAAACCAGGAGAATGGAGATATACTTCGGCAACACGCCTTTATCGAAACAATGCCAGTAATGAATTCACTTCTGCCATTGTTTTGCATAAAAAATGGAATGTAAATGTGTTTTAAAGCTAGACAATTCCATATCGAAGCAAGGCGCGGCTTTGCCAAATGACGTGTTATGCAGACAAACCATATCGCAAGCACTATGCTCGAAAACAGGCTGCTGCGGATATTGGCAACCCAATTTTTTTGACCCCGTAGATCGATCCTCATACGTCCTGGGTAAGGGAAGCGGATAGCATCTTAAAGAGGTCACCTACCGCGTAAGGTCGTATTTTCTTGCGACAGAGTTCGATCAGGTCCGCCTGGAGCTTCTTCTGCCGGTCGGTCAGCACCCATGAAGGGTCGAATTCAGATCCAACGCCCCAAAACGGACGTGAGCCCCACATCTTTTTGGACTCGTTGTTCATGCTGCTGTCAGTCATCTGCAACAAAGGTGTCATTGTAGAGGCTGGGGATCTTGCTCAGTGGTTGCAGCGATTAAGTACATCAGACAATGAGGACACGGTCTGGCGATGTAGTGGTTATGAACCCGACAGGCTCACCCCGTACCGCGCATCCGGTTTTTTAAGAAATACCAGTGGATGAGGATAAGCGACGCATTCACCACAATTTTAAAAGGAATCGTGGTAGACATATAAAGGGAAGCGAAATTAAAATAAATTGTAATAATGTAACTATTTGTATCGCCAGACGGAAAGAAAACCAACGGTTGAAAATGCTTCCAGGTACTTCATCAGCATGATGCCAAGTGCGTCTATCTTTTAGCTGTCTTTCGCATCGGAAGAAAATCACTGTCAGGGATCATTCAAGGACTTGCTGTTAAATGATATATGAGCTATTCACGCCGCATACCGCATCACACGTGACTAAAAAAAGAAACAATAACCAAAAATACAGCAATGCTTAGCGGGCTTGTTCGCCAACAAAGTTATTGCACCGAGCAAATACTTAGATCCGGCCTCAAAATACGACAAAGACAGTTTCACATCTACTTTGGTCTAGCTTTTTCTCAAATGAATACTGAATAGATGACTACATCCCTCCCCACAATGTAGCGACACCTAGAGACCTAGCTCAGAGTACCATACGCCGAAACAACTCTCCCCGGTTCTTACCTCGCAAGCCAATGGCCTCTCCAAGGCCAGCGCAGTCACCCTGCTGCTCGCCGCCTTTCTCCTGCGGCAGAGGCGGGCGGGACCGGAGCAGCACAGGGCGGTCACGTGACTGTAAGGTGAGAATAATTTCGTTATTTTCTCTCAATGCGCGAGACGCCACGGTGATCTTGGGCAGCACCCGCGCCTTCCATTCGTTGACACCCACGAACAGAACAGATTTACGCCTGGTAGAGCGCTTGCCAGCAATCTGGTGAGCTCGCTGGAGTACTGACCGCTGGCGGGGGCAGCTCCGCCACCGAATGGAAACCGGCGCGCGGCGGTGCTGTCACAGGCTCGTTAGGGCATTGCTTGATCTGTTTACCGTTCAGCCACCACTCAGAAACTTGCACTTGGCACAAACTGTTTACGGGAGAGTGTTTACGCCAACGATCAGAAGCTAGGCATCCATATTTCGTTCTGGTCTTTGCTCCCATGTAATGCTAGTTGCGGAGCAAGATGAGGATGAACTCTCATCTGTGCCCTTTTTCATCGGTCCTGAATATATTGAAATGCCTTGAAATTACAGGAAAGAGAGCTCGCCTTGCTGTGATTAACAGGACTGCGAAGAAATTGCCAATGAAGTTTCGGGTATTGCAGTCTACAACAATACCCCGCCACAGTTGTTAGGGTCCAGCATTGCTGCAGTTACGATGACATCAACTTACTGCATTAATGGCAAAAGCAGCATTGAACCACCACAACAGATGTAGCCAAGGAACGGAACTTTGTTATAATATGACACCATCTGAACTAAACTTACTATAGCTGGACATCAATTTAGTGATAAAGCCAACTGGTGACAAATTTTGGCTTTTAATAAAGGCAATGGTCGATAAAACAACGGCTACGTTGTATTATCTACTGTTTTTGGAAGCATTTGGCTCCTGTTTCAGCCCAAGCATCGTGTTTGACAACTGTCTCAAACAAATATGCGTTCAAAGGATTTCGATTTGATTGCTGATCTTGTTATTGGCCTCCATGCGTTTAATGCCCACATATCTGTCGCTTACGGACGTTTCATTTCAAGGTTGAGTGAATATCCCCAAAAATCCCACTTTAAATCACAACAGTCATTTCGTGCGACACGATAGAATACTTCAGACAATGCCCAGCTGACTTTCCCGCTTAGTCGACGGAACATTCGTGTGCCGGCTCCGTGACCATCTGAGCTCTTTTGGCTGAGGCAGAATTCCAAACCTTCCCAGATATCAGTTCTGGGAACCTTTATCTGCACAGGGTCTCCCAGCATACCGGCTCGGGCAGTCGTGGCTGCCAGTGATGCTGCCAACCAAACTGTACGAATAATACCTAAGCGCACATCGACCGGTTCCGTGACTTCATCACCGCACCATCTCAGGACGTCACGGGAAGCCTCTAAATCCTGGTCGCGAAAAAATGCCAGCTCCTTTTCGACCACCTGAGCCGGGCGCCTGATGCTTATGCATATGTTTCCCGGCACCTCCTGGTTACGACCGAGGCCGCTGACCGAGTGTGTCTGAAGGCGACTTATCGGACACGTGTCAGCTTTCAGCGGTCTGCCCGGCTGGTGGTGCTCTCGACTTGTTTACGGCCTTGCAAAACTCTGTTAATGTCAGATATATTCCGGATGGCGTCGTAACTTCAGGGTTAAACGTATTTTCTGCAAGTTTTTCATACGTTGCAGGATTTTGGAGAGCTCCGGCTTTAACACTGGCTACATGGAGAAGCGCATCACTCTTACATCAATCGGACGACAAACTCTTTCTGTAAGCGTAAACATTTTCCCGTGTTGCATGCTTAGGGCGCGGCGTCGACTGTGCGGCTAACGTTACGCGGTGGTCAATAAACGGACGAAATTAATGAAAGATACAACATAGGCCCTTTTGAACGCTTCACGTCAGTTAGTACGTTTATAACACAGTGCAGGCCTTTATATCACCTAAAACGTTATTTGATAAATAATAACCATTGCTCCGACGGAAGAATGTCTTTTGAAATGTTTGTTTTATTGTTCCTAGACAGCTTAAGCATACTATGATTGTTGTCATGAAATGTCATCGACGTCCCACAGCTAAATCATGTTTATCAATTTCAGAATAAGCTTATTGTACGAAATGAAGCTCTAGGCATCTGTTTCAGGGCATGCCTCAGTCCACCCTGCGTTCGCCTCATGTGTATGGGTTTGGGCCTTTTTCTCGCAATGCTCTTGCATTATTTCCAATGATGGTAGAATATTTGTTCCCATTTGCATGCTCAGTTACGACGTTATTCGATTTCCAGACCCATTTCCGTCGCAAGTAGGTGCGCTACCCATATTTCTGTATCACAGAGTGTGGTTTGTGTTCGGGACTTACAGCCAACGCGTTAAGCTGACTGAAAGCCAACTGCTGTCCGCTGATGTCCCGATTCGTGCTAACGTATTCCAAACACGATTAACTCAATGATCATATTTCCATTGACCTTGAACTCAACATGGCTATTGAAGAGACGGCGGTCTTAGTTGCAACTCAAATTATGTATGCTTGTTGCCTCAAATACACATGCTTGATTTATCATAATATTTGCAGGCCATGTTATATGTACCGATTGGGTGTGAAACTTTAGTCTTGAATTATTCCTGGAAACGAGTAATCTATGGACAGCTCACGTCATTTAATGCTAATTCCTCCACTAAAAAACGCAACCTTCATGTTAAAACTTGTCACTGGCCGCGAGAGAACCACGGAGTGGTTCACGTGCAGCCTTCGTTAAATGATAGCCGACCCTTCGTTTGAGCGACAAAATGACCCAGCACAGTGAAGCCCAACAGAGCTTTTTTGGCGTGTTTTTTCCTAGTTAGGGTCATCTTGTTCTTGCACTTTTCGCATATCTATTACTTTTGAGAAGTTTGTCAACGACTGATACCAAAAAGTGTTCTGACTAGATACAGTCTCGCAATTACATATCAATTGTGTATTTATGTTGATATTATGCACCTACCGATGCCGGTGATGACAGATGATATTCTACCAAAATAGTAATTTTCTTTGCTCGGTTGTGGAAACATTAGTCAAATGTATATAAATAAAGGAGTGAAATACCACGATGAGGATATTAATATAGAAACTTCAGTGCAGCCGATAATGTGGTCATTCAACGAAAATATCGAAAGTTATATTTTCCGCCGATTATGGAAGACGAACTTAGTCCGTCCTGATGGCTCAGTTGAATAGAGCGCCTGCGTTCTGGTCCGCCTGCTGCTGACGGGATGGGCTCGAGTCGGTTTTGGCGGTCGCTACTTCTCCTAAATACGCATGGCCTGCGGCCGGTGGCAGCGGCCACGCAAAAGGTCGTGTGACGATAGAGAGCAGACCGTACCGCATATTGAACTTTCCGCCATCAATTTCTGTCGTTGAGATGGAATTGCGCAATGGAATGGTAAGGATCAGGGCTCGCACAGCAAGCACTGCTTAGCGCAAACTGTGAGCCCAGAAATCCATCTATTCAAAAAATTTGGATGAAATCTTTAAAAAAGTTGCTAATGCGGTGACATGACTGCTGACCGCATTCAAAACTCCTCCAGCCAAGATCACATGCATTCAGTTGTATCTTAAGATGATTTATTTAAAATCGCACGTTTAAATGAGAAGAAATATTTTAGTAAAAAATTGGTGGTGGTTGCAGAACACTACTGAATCCAGTTTATGGGACGGCTACGTGCACGCTAGGAACCATAGAAACCACAAAAGATGCTCGAGTTTGGCCATAATTACCGGTAAAAGTATGCATCATGCGTGAATAGCATATAAAACTGATCTCGCTATGTTATGTTTCCCAGCATTCACAGCCATCGGGCCTGGTCGCCAACAGACCTGATAACATTGTCAGAGCGCCACAGACAACCACTACCGCAATTGGTCAGTGGTAGGCAAAGTCGGGTACAGAACCGAACTGCGCATCCACACAATTAGGCTGCCGGCGGTGATAAATAAGCCAGGCCCATTCGAATCGCGAGGCTGCAGTACCACGCGTTCTGTCAAACGACAAGGATCATACCGACTAAAGTGTACTACCAATTTTTTTCCCACGATGGAGGCAGGACAGCCCTTCTCGGTTATTTATTTACGGTCAACGTCCATAGCAGCAATGCTACATGCTCTTAAAATTGGGGTTGAGACGCCCTGGCCCCTGTTCTTTCCCCCTCGAACCTACCCTTCTTCTTGAGCTCCTATCTACTGATGTAGTCAGCAATGTGAGATACCAACTTTTTACCTAATCCATGGGTATGCTGATCCACACAGCTCAGCAGACTGTAAGCGTCCGCATAAACTGCTTGATAATCCCACAACACAAGTGATGTGAAGAGGGTTTTTGAAAGAAACACATTATAGAGCATTGCACCGAATTGTCTGGGGCTCATTCTAACGCTATCAGTTAGAATCACACCGCAAGGAACGGCCAGTCAGCCACTCATTCACTATGGGTAGTCATATGGCCGTTCATGCAGCAGTCCGCTGATTCCGGCGTCTGCGTAACAGCCTGTACTGGCGGGTGCGATGAGCCACCAGGCCGTCCTAGTCACACCTCATGATACTGTTCCGTACGAGCGTTTTCACCAGCGCTGTCGTGACACTGAGCAACGACAATGGATGTGCGACACTATGACCGGCAGCCACTTAGCGTCGATGGGGCGCACCAGCTAAGCCAGCTCGGTGGGCCCACCGCGTGCTTGTTAAGCCGGTTGGTGAAACAGGACGGGACAGCTACCGCTGACTCCTGCCGAAGTGGGCTGACCAGAACCATACAAGCCAGCGGTGCAGCTGATGGTCATGCTTCTGCGACCAGACGAACGCTGTTTGTTGCGAGCTCACGAGATCACAAAGTGTCCCAAACCTTAATATAGCTTTCTAAACATTGATCGTCTTTTTCAGTTCACTTGCAAAACAGCTGGCTCATTGCCGGTGCAGTGCGTCAACAGGCATTTGCATATATACAGAACAGGGGGAAAAAACATTCAGAGCAGGGAGGTAAAACAGTTTTATAATAGCTGGCCCATTGCATCACTTCCGTGCAGTGACCAGGAGCGCACAACAGATTTTTGTGAGGAGGGGTTCAGCTTTGAGATTTATCTGTAAGAGCTCTCATGACCACTCTGGGTGGCAGCACCTGAAAGCAGTCACATTTTTGTTACATTTTCTTGGTACCCTGTTTTGTGCCATAACGGTTCATGTAAAATGTATGTGAAATGTGTGTGGAATCACAATGCATTTTTGTGAGGAGTGATCCAACCTTGAGGCGTATCTGG